TGAAAGCCCTAAGCCTCCCACACACATGAGCAGCTCTGACCTCCCCTCATGCAGCATGCTGAAAGCGCTCTCCTCACTTTTTTCTTGTCACATCGGTTTCCATCTCCACACATAATCGCACACACATGAACACGCTGCTGCGTGACAGCATCACAGTCCGTGGATCTAAGTAGGAGTAATCAAATAGGGCCTATTATGCTGTGGAAGACAATGATTTGACACATATCAAAATCTTTTAACATCTTAGACTACTCTCTCATAGTTCGACAGCAGCTAGGTGGGTCTTTGTGGCCTCTGTGTGATTTATGGTGACCCGGTGAGAGTGTGTATAGAATAATGGTAGGTGAAGCTTGAGCTATTTGCTGTGGTTGCTGGAGCCTGGTACAGACGGTTTGCAGGACAGGCGGTAATAGCCCCCCTTTGGCCTTTTTACTAAAGTGAGGAAAGGCAGGCCAGCACTTAGACGACACAGGGCATGTACACTCATGCACACATACTGTAACTGCCCTCATAGTGTGACTGTGTCAGCAAAGGTTCTGCATGACAAAGTGGTCAGCAAGCAGAGTTAAAGCCAGAACAACATCTCATTAGAGGCCATTTTTAACATGCTGGAAGAACGCAAATATGTTACCTTCATTAAAATCCCATTGATACTGGAAGTTAAATCCATCTGTATGTTCATGTCCTTCCCTGTTTTTCTTTATCTATAGTAGAATCATAACTAGAAAATAACGTTTGTCAATCATAACAGGTCAGTAACACCAGAGTGACATCAGTTTAAAACTCCATGTCCAAACTTTGTTTTCTTTTTCAGGACATATTTAAGAAGATGTTTTACAGTCTAAATCAAGGTGAGGAGGATTGTTCCTTTTTGTAAACCATCCTGATTATACATTGATTTTCTTAATGTTACTTTGAAAGTCTCATCTTAAACTGGTGTGGTGATATCCTGTAGGTCATATTGCCATCCCTAAATCCTTACACCATCTTTTTATTTTGAAAAGACATATACAGGAGGTTATCAGTAGAGAAATGGTAAAAACAGTCCATGTAATCTCAACAAATGATCACTAATAATAGCCTTTTTATCCTGATAATAGACTTCACTGATGATAAAATGACTTTACAACAACTTTATGGCAGAATGTAAGCTAACAACAATGTCTAATGTCCATCATGGACAACATGTGGACTATGTGTATTGATGATTCATGGTCTATGTGTGCTTTGATGAACTGTCAATAGATGCATGTAAAAGATTTTTGTAATTAGTGACAGGGGTGAAACTTATGTACAAGCCAGTCGGCTTCGTTCCCTCCTCACACCATCGAAAATGTGTGTGTGCTAAAATAAATAAACCTAAAACAAACATGCAAACACACAAACAAACAATGAGCTATTTTAATGCCGTACGGGGATGCTGTACTCTATATTACCACTTTTTCTCTGCGTATGGTGCACTTTGCTCACCGTAGTAGAGCTCTGCAGCAGCAGCAGCGTACTGTGGGAGAGTCCAGGTTAGACTGTCCGACAAAGGTTAGGAATCTGGATATCACACAGGTAAAAAGTGACTGGAAAGGGAAATGTTACTTTAGAGATTTCAATGCTTTGTACATTCTTATACTAGTCTCTAATAGCTAAACGAAGAAGTACAACGAAATGAGTCAGTTTGAGTAAAAGTATTCAAATGTATAACATAACTGTATTTTAATTAAAACTAGGTAAAAAAAAATTATAGTTAACTAAAAGTAAACCAGAACTATCAACAAAAATATGACTAAGGCTGTGTCCGAAATAAATCACTCAATCCCTAACCCCTAACCCCTAACCCCTATATGGGGTTTTATTATAAAGTTGACTATGTTGTGAACTCAATCATCACAGGTTTCAGACACTACATGGCAAGACGCAAGGCATGACGGGATGCCCACCACCGGTGAGTGACCATCGGTTGGTCACTACATTTTGCAATGCTTTATGGGAATTTTTGAGTCGCCTACACTGGAATTGATCACTGAGGTTTTGAACACCCCTAAAAATGGCACTAACCCCCATGTAGTCACCTATACAGGGGTTAGGGATCCATTTCGAACACAACCTAAAACTCACAGGCATTTTTGTCTAAAGACAGACAAATAGCAGCCAAACTTAACACGACATTGTGTATGATCTATTAGTTATCAGGTATTAGTTATTTTCTAAAGGAGGAACCATTGTCTCATCAGAATCAAGTGTTTTATATTAGTGGGTAATTAGTTCGGAAGCTCGGTAATACACCATTAAAGTAACCCCCCTTCATAACAGCCCAATAATAAGTAATGAGTGAGTGAGGGTAAGTTACTGTAGCAGCATATTGCCCAGCTTTACAGCAGAAAGAAAGTGTGAAAGAGTGAGTAACGCTCTCCAAAAGCTGCTCATCTGCTCAAGTACTCAAGCCCCTTTCACTCTTCCCTGCAGGAAGGCTAATGACAGACATGTAAGTAGGCAGCGTGACCTGTTCTACTGCACATGGAGTTTATTTGCTGTGGTTTTAGCTGCAGCTTCTCCGCTCAGGCCCCTGGGGTGCAAATACGTCCATGGTGCTTCAGCCCAGGGAGCAGCAATCTGACAAGCGGCGCAGACCTAATCCAGGCCAGGTCTGGGGTTGTGATTGGTATGCATCCCCCAGGTATGGAATAAATACAAGGCTGGTAAGCAGATCTGCTTGCATGGACAGCCGCAGGGATGGGAGGCTGGGGGCTGGGGGGGTTTGAAGGCTTTCCAACCTTGCGTTACATGCCTTGATGGGATGTCTCTTATCCATATATGTAACCTCATAACATTTTGGGCTTTTCACGAATAAGAACCGCTTTGATCTCCTGTGGAAAGCGATGCAGTTTTAATGTCCAACTTCAAGGACCATTAACAGCATTTTTATCAGTTAGCAGGGCTGCTTGGCAAATTTCTGAATGTCAAGTCAGGGGGTGTTGCTAGCCTAGAGGTAAGAGCAGCTTGTTTATGATTGGAGGGTTGTCAGATTTAGTTTCTCACTCGGAGAAAGGAGGTGGGGAAAGTGGATGAGTAATACATATCCCTCCCCATAGCACTTCAGCTGAGCTACCTCTGAGCAAGGCACTTTGACTCCCTACTGCCTCATTGGGTAAAAGTAGAAAAACAAAGTTGTACGAGAGGATGTGGAAATAAATCGGGTAAAGTCTGAGGGCAAATAAGGAAAAAAGAGTTGAATTCACTGTAACTCAAAGTACCGGTGTCTGTAAAACTGGTGGCATCTCTCCACACTCCCTCACTCCCTCCCTCCCTTCCTTGCTCTTTAGTTTGAGCAAATCAGGTGTACCTGTTTAAACTTGCTGAGTAATTTGGGGATCAGCAGCTGCCTCTAATGGCTAAATCAGCAGGGAAGGGGGTGGGGACTGAAAACGTGGAATCAGAAGAGAAGGAAAAAGGTTTACAACCTTAACAAAAATATCAGTTATTACCTATATCTACTTCCTTTTTTTAACTGCTAAGATCCTTTTCAATGAAATATTTTTAAAGCATTGAAAACCTCTATCTGCAGTTTGTATCATTCTGCATTAAACAACTGTTTCATATGCATGGCAGATTTAACTTGTCATCATGAATGGAAAGTTGTTACTGATGTTTTTGAGAGACGGTTTAGGGTTTAGTTTGAAGAGAACAGGACGATTATTTGGCCAGTTTTGCAGATGCAAACGCCACTTTATTTCATCTTCTCAACTGCAAACATCTGCTTGATTGATTGATTGATTTAATCTTTTTCTGAAAGCATTTTAAAAACGTCATATTCATCTAAAACAGTGGTTCTCAAGTTCAGTCCTCGAGGCCCACTGTCCTGCATGTTTTTGATGTTTCCCTGCTCCAACACACCTGATTCAAATGATCAGCTCGTTATCAAGCTCTGTAATGGCTTAATAACGAGCTGATCATTTGAATCAGGTGTGTTGTAGCAGGACAGTGGGCCTTGAGGACTGGACTTGAGAACCACTGATTTAAAAGAACCCACACGCTGCTCTCAAACAAGTATGGAGGATAAATGAAAATAGAAAAAATAATTTGTGGTCTTATTTGTCTCGCCGTATGAGCTGTAAGTTTGTCAAATTTGTTTAGCTGCATAAAACGTCTCCTTTAAATTGAGGTTTGGTCAAACAGTCAAATAATAAAAAATAAAAAACAGGCAGCACTGACGGTCAGCAGCTCTGTCTTCTGCTTATATATTGCCCGTACACAGTGCTTTGTGTGCATATTTGGTCCGGTCCAAAAAAAGTATTAGTTTGATGTTTGACCTGGGGTAAACTTATTTCAGGAGATAACACAGGTTCAGTTTTTGTCATGTGCAAAGTTCCCCCCTCCCCAGAAACACTCAACACAGACACTGACACATTCCTGACGGCACAAGGCATAACTTGTTTTGGAGGCTGTTCACAGGACTGTGTTAAGGTGAATCCAGACACACACCGGGCTATGTGCAGCGAGAGGGGCAGCGTTGATTTAGGGCATTACTCAGACAGAGAGGGAGAGAGAAAGAGAGGGGCAGAGAGGGAGAGTCTCCCCTGACTGCATTAGGAGAGCCTCCAGCCTTTGTGATTCCTTTTGATCAAATCTCTGTGAAAGATGAGTGTCATGCCCTCTTCCAGCCAGCTGTGAGGAGACTGCCCTGTGACTCTGAGGGGGTAGACGTGAGCGTGTGTATGTATGTGTGTGTGTGTGTGTATGTGCGTGCATGTGAAAGCATACACACACACACGCCTATCTGTGTGCATGTGCATGTGTGTGTGTCTATGTGTGTTGTGTGTGTGCAGGCTAGGGAGGGACCAGGCAGCTCCTGAGGTGAGAATGCCGAGTGGGAGGATCTCATTCCAATCCCTTGTGCCCAGTTTCAACACACACACACACACACACACACACACACTCAGTCAGTTACACACACACACACAGAACATCTTGAGTAGTTTAGAGGGAGTCCACTGCAACATTAGAGGAGGGAAGGCAGAGGAGGTGTGTGAGTGTGTGTAGTGAGAGTAAAAGCACAGTGACTACTTCTCTTTTTTTGTAGAGTGAGTGTTGGTGGCTCAGTATCCATGCGTGTGTGAGTGTGTGTGTGTGTGTGAGAGAGAGAGAGAGAGAGCAAACGGAGAGGCTAAGTACATGTGTGTCTGTGTTGTTGAAGCAGAGGAGATGCTGCTGGCTGTGATGGCTCTTTTGCTGTAGTACTTGTGCGGACAGGAGAGTTGGAGCCAGTTGTATTGTGGGACTCGCGGGGAATGGCAAACTCCACAGTATCCCTGGAAACATCCGACTAAATGACAATGGCTGAGGTAAGAGAGCTTTTCACTGTGATCCTCTGTCTTCTCGGGCTCCTCTCACTCCCAGCGCCTGCACACACATCCAGGACATGTTTAACAAAGACAAACTGGATAGAGTTTATGAAGAGCAGCGTGACAGACAGACAGGAAGACTGCGAGCTTAAGGTGTTTAAAATTGGCTTAAATACTGTTTCGTTTTTTTCTTTACATGAAACGTTTTCTTTTTTTTTATTCTCCATGAGAGGAACTGACTAATCTTTACAATTTAACACAGATTTTTAATGCATTTATTTTGTTCGGGATGTTCAAAGTTGTCAGTGATAAACAGCGGTATGCAAAGTAAGATCTGTTTTGTGTCTAGCACCTACATTCAGTTATATACAGAGTTTGAGAACTATACAAAATACAGTTTTTATGAGCTTTCCGTTTGACAAAAGCTACATTTTCTAACAACCTTTTTGTTCATTCAACAATTTGGCAAAGTTGACAATCAGAAGTTTATAATAAGAATCTCAACTTTCTAAAACTGTCAAAGTTTGAAATCAATTTAGAAACTATATAAATAATGAGTTTTTTTAAAAACCATCTCTGAAGTCATTTAATTCAATTCAGTTTAATCTAATTTAATCAGATGTATTTGTCTTCCAAGAGAAGCTTAGACATTTAAAAATTATATAAATAAAACAGGGTGACGTAGAGTGAATTAATTAAAAATGCACTTTGTTTAAAAAAGTAAATGTCTAAAGAGGGCAGGTCATTGTGAGACTGTCCTGAAGTGCCGTCCGAAATTTTCAAAGACAACTCCCTATTAACAACACCAACAACAACCGTGAGCGTGGACAAGTCTGTTTAAGTTTCTTTTACACATTTTTATATTTTCTCCACATTCTAAAAACTGATTAAATTTAATTTAATAGTCCGTTCAGGTTTATTCTTATTCTACCTTATTCTAACTTTGTCCAAACGCTAAAGACAGGAAACTTCAGTTAGCACACCTGAGTCATTCAAAACATTAGCAGAGAGACAGAGAGCCGTCCAACAGTCCTGGACCAGCTCTCCTTGTTTCTGTCTGTGTTTCCCAGGCCTCCTGCAGCTTTCCTGGCCACTGGCAGCATGCTTATTGGAATGCAATTTAAAGCAGCCTAATGTTTTGTTGCAGCCATAATGTAACAATTAGCAGAGCTGTCTGCGTGGTGGTGGTGGTGGTTGTCGGGAGCAGCTTCCTCAGAGCCTGTGTGTGTGTGTGTGTTCAGTGTGTGTGTGTGTTTGTATGCAAACAGGACTCAGCAGCTGTGGTTAAATCTCTCAGATTTCAACATTTCAGGGGATGAGCTGAACGTCCAACTGGTCTAACGCTTACAACATTGTGTATTCGAACAGTTTTAATGAATTGTTAAATTTGAAGTGAAATAGACAACCAAGATAAAATAAAAAGATAAAGCACGCCTTTACGCTGATATACTCACACGCTATTGCTCGTGTTGTTAGGGGAGTGATTTATTTAGTTGTTTTAGATGTGACATAATTGCGACATGTTTATGGTGATTTTAATGAAGTCAGAGAAGTGGACACTTTTTTAGAGGTTGACCTGAACAATTAAAGACCTAAAAAATGCACATCCTCGTCTCAGAGGTAACTTTGATCATATTTAATTTGGTCTGTTTTATGAAAAAAAAAAAATACATCCAGCAATTTTAAAGTAGTCCAGAGCAGAGTAAAATTTGGGTTAAAATTAACTCTTCTTTAACACCAGAAGCGTAAACAATGTTTTCATCAATAATTAAAATATGTTCAATAAATAAAAACGAGCTCAGAGGCTTTTCCTCCTCACACATGCTGAAGTGACTCTGACACATCCTTTTACACATTTGCTGCTGCTGCTGAGTGCGAGAGAGGCCTCTACCCCAGCGACCATGAAATCCAGTCAGAATATTCCTGTATGTAAGCGTATATGTGTGTGTTTGTGTGTGTTTGTGTAAGTTAACGGCCCTTTGCAGCTTTTACACACTCTTTAACACTCCGGTCCTCTCTCTTTATTCCTGTTGTAATATCACTCTTTGTATCTTCATCTGAGTCTTTCTTGGTTAAATCCTGCAGGGCCCCGGACACACACACACACACACACACACACACACACACACACACACACACACACACACACACACGAACAGAAAGGGAGACAAAAGGCATTGTGTGTCTTTACAGCTCTGTGTACACTCATGCCAGTGTGTAATGTGTGTTTTTGTCAAGTGTTTGTGTCCACTTTGTGTTCAGACAGCAGTAGTACAGCCTGCCAACTTAGTCAGCTTCATTAGGCGCATGATGGTCCTTCCATGAGAACGAGGTGGTGGGGCGGTGGGTTTATCTGCTCCTCCTTTTGCCCCCTTCGGCATCTCTCCGGGCTGCGATACACCCCTCCTGGCCCCAACCGACCCCCTTAACACCCCCCAAAACTCCTCCACACACACACACTTTCACACACAGAGCGGAGCAGCCACCCCTTGCATGTGCTCTGCGCTGCCACCAAAAGGCTCGTGAGGATTTGTCAGCCAGATGTGACAAGATTGTCAAGAGGCAGGGGAGGAGAGAGAGAGCGATCTGATATTAATCAGAGCGTAGCTGGGAGCCAAAGTCTTTCAGACTCAGTGTACTAACATGTTGCCCTCATTTACTCCTTCTCTGAGCCAGACACTCCCTCTGAGTTCCTAACAGGGAGCCACAAACACCAGGAAGCCAACCAAACTTTGGCCCGCCTCACTCCCTCCCATACAGGCTTATTGTCTTGAATACTTTTTTTTTTTTTTTTTAAAGAAAGCAGCCATTTCTCATGGATATTCAGGTAAAGATCTGTTACTTTTGTCTGTTCCAGTGTGAGACGTGTGCTGTATGAGTGTGTGTCCTTTCTGCTGACTGACTGACTGAGTTTTGATACCTGTCTCTGAGCTGTAAAGATCTTAATATGTTCAAACAGAGCCTGCCAGCACTTGCTGGACTTTACTTGTTTTCAGTTTCAATGCAGAGCAAAGGAAAGCTTGTGCTTTTTTTCAGTCCAGGTGTATTTTACTAGCTTTACCTGACAAAGAGGAAACTTTAAAGGTTTTGAACGCCAGTCACCAAAACCAAAGCTGGATGCAACAGCGGCTGAGGGTTTGTGCGTAAAATGTTATCTATTTAAAGTTAACACACAAGTTTCCATTTTTTAATCTCCAGCTGAATCACTTAAACACATCACGCTTCCTCTGTGTCTGCAGAGAGACGTTAAATCAAAGACTGAGGCAGGATCATGGTCCTGCTGAAGCTCATGAATCTATACCTCAGTTTAACCAACACTTAGCATCAATTAACATTTTACACCCTGCTGTCATACACACAACAAGGTCCCAGGCATGATTTATTTATCAGCCGGATCCTTCTGCTGCAAACACACAAATAGAGAGCAGAGCAGGTGATGGACAGCGGCTCAGGTAACGACCTGAGATGCTGTGTTTGTTTAATTGGTGGAAGTCGTGGGTATAAGCGCTGGTTCCTCCTCCAGGTGATTTCCTGAGCGATCAAACCTTTCAGTCTTTGTGTTCCTGTGCTTTTCTTCTTTTCTTCACTGAGCTGACATTTGTTTTTGGTGGAGTTTGGCTTTTAATCTATTTTATTGGATTTTAAAAATAGTAACAGACTCTAGTTTTGTATGTTTTTATCAGTACATCATGAAAATATTATTCCTTTTACACCAGTTTGATGGACTAAAAGTGAAACTTTCCCTGCGAGATAAAAATCTGATTCGTTTTAGATATTGTTGTTATTTAAGTTTTAATATCATTCATTCAATCTGCAGCCCTTTTTAAACCAAGTTATCTCTTAATTGTTTTGTAATTGTAGCCAAAATAATATAGAAAATGTTAAAAATATTTAATATTGGATTTTTGAATGACACCAGAAAAAGAAAGGAGGAAAAGTGCAGTGCAGAATTTCCGTTTTTTCCGTTATTTTCATATTGTTGGTCCAGAATAAATAACTATTATTTTTATAGCTTTAGGTAATAACTACTACCATTAAAAACTGCTCCACTCATGGTAAATAAATCATTTTTATTGGTTAATGTATCAAACATAAACCGTTAAATGAAAGCTCTAAAGTCTAGATTTTTTTTTAAATTAAAAACTGCAGCGAATTTTGTAGAAATGTTTAAAAAACAACTACTACTACTAACTGATTTCTATAAATTTTCTCCACTTGTGTGAGGTGATGAAACAGCTTTTTTACAGAGGGAATGATAATCATCTGTAACGTGCAGTTCAGCTATCATCATCATCATCATCCACTCACTTCCTTTGTGTCCTTAATTGTCTGCTAAACTAATTAATGGCTAATAGTAAAACCTGATCCTCTCTGCCTCGACGGAGTCTCCCTCTTCCTCAGAGCTGCTGATAGCGCTGCTGTCTTTCAGTCTTTGGCACCAGCACCGCTTGTTTCCCCGTTGAGTGTCAGTTAGTGCCCGACTGCTGCTAATTGATTAGTTTTCCGCCGCATTAGGCCAACAGCTCCCTGTCCATCTCTGCACCGTCTCTGTCCAAGCAGCTGTTCACCTCTGCTCGCTCTCCACAGCAGTGTGGCCTTTCACTCTGGATCTCTTTAAGAGTCGGAAAAGGAATTTTTTTTTTCTTTTCTTTTCTTTTTTTGGGGGGGTGTTTCAGTGTGTGAGTGTGAGTGTGTGTGTTTCCTCATGATAGGACAAAGATGGAGTCCTAATCTGTTGCACTGAGATCATCTCTTTATCTGTTCATATGATGAAATCAGCTTCCTTATCCAAGTCTTAATATTTACCCTAAAAAGGACAATTACGTAATTTCATAAAGCATCAAATTTTTGTCCGTCATCTTTTTTACGACTGTCACTCTATGATAATCTACCTTGTTGTAGATGTAATCCACAATGGTTTAGATCTACCTGCATCCTGAGGTGTAATAACTTATCAATGACTGATATACACGCATACAACACCTAGGAGTGTCACTGACTCAGACCAAACCCAGACCACTAAAACTAAACAAAGAGGATGGTTTGGACCTGCTCTCTTTGTAAAGCGCTGTGTCGTAGAAAGTTCTGTAAAAGTAAGACTGATGGATGACGGGTCGTACTGGTTTTCTCAGGACACTTTTTGGTTGTAGATGATGTTATTGTGGACCTGCCTCCAAACCTGCTTTAACCATTTTTCATGGCCCTGATCTTTCTACAGCTCACAGACCGACTTTCATAATAAAAGTCTAAATTGACAGAGGACTAGCTGCAGATCACAGCATACACAAGAAGACTAAACACGGTTTCACGCTAAAGAAAAATAAAGATTAGTAAATGGAGCGCAAGTAGTATAATAATATCTCATACATATAGAAAGACAGGAAATGAAGAGATTCAGAGGATGAAAAAGTTGACATGTTTTCATAATTAATTCCTCATTATCCTGAAAATCCTCTCTTAGCTGTAACTAAAATAAACCAGCAGCCTTTAAATGTTTTCCGGTAGAGTTAAGTTAAGTGTTAATACTGAAGAAAACCTGTTAATAACTCTGAGGTGGAGGCTGGTCTTCAGGATTTGGGTCAGAGGTTCAGAGGTCAGGGTCAAGACTAAACACTCACAGATGAGGAAGCGAATAAAGAAATGGTGAAGTGTTCATCTAAACACCATACGGGGTTAATCTGAACCAGCTCTATAAGTGTCTCACTTTTCTTTATCTGGATCAGCTGTAAAATGAAAAAAAAAAAAAAATCGGCATTATTAAAAGAGTTTTCACGCAGACCTAAAAATGTTTAATACATACGTTTTAGCAGCATGTCTGAAAGTCCCTAATGCCACCGATTGTTTCTGCACTGAGATTTGTTTCAAATGTTATTATATATAAAAACTTCAACTTAACTCATGCCTCTGTATTCAAACCTGTGCGATTAATCATCGGTTCAAAAGCGTGTACAACCAAAATAAGTGATGGAGGCTTGTGAGGGTGCGAGTGCGGTGAGGTGGGCTGTTTGACATCACTGATATAAAGAGAGCGACACGCAGTTAGCTTTGGTTTCTAAAACATTGATCCAGCAGCATCATTTTGTTCAATTAGGCTTCTTGTCATCCACTTCACTGATGTGTGCAAACAGCCGTGGCTTTGGTGTGATCGCGGCACAGAGGCGGAGGGGGTGGGGGTGGAACGGACACTGGCAGCCACTGCCGTACTTCCCCCTCCTCTTCTGTTTTTCATGAAAACCTCAAATGTTTTACTAATTAAGATAGAAGACCTGCATACTGTGTGTTGGAATGTGTGTGTGTGTGTGTGTGAGCAGGCCGGTGAGTGCGTAGGGGAACCTGATTGAGATGTATATTAGAAGGAGCAGCAGCAGGAGGTGTGTGTGCACCCACAGTGGGATGGGATTAGCCTAATTGGGCCGTGTTGGTTCTTGGTGCTTTGTAATGATGAGATTATATCGCTAAGAGATGAGCAAGGGGCTCTTACACCTCACCACTGTCCAAAGCAGGCCGGACTGGCCGACCAGCCAAGGATAAAACCTGACAGAGAAGGCAGGAGGAAAAATTCAAACAGATGTCATGGGACCAAACCCGAGCTACCGCCATTGCAGTCAAGGCCGGGTAGCTTCTGTCACCTTGATCTCAGGTCACTTTATAAGTCCTAATGATAAGAGGTTACTGTAAGGTGAAATAACATGATCCTACATTTCAAGGACAAGCCTCGCCTCAAGCACAGAACTATACGCCACTGTCTAAATGAGGAGGAGGAGGAGGAGGTGCTCCTCTTCCCAACTACCCACCTTCTTCTCCTTCTTGCCTTGGAGAGGGAGCAAGCTCCGTTGAGGGGCTAAGCATGCTGCTCATGTATACTAAAAGCCCACTGATCATGCATTATAGATGCAGAGGGAGAGAGATGGCGTAGTGCAGCCACTCCAAGGGTTTGAGCATGTAGCACTAACAACACTGGCTTTGATCATAAATCTAATGATGCTCTTACCTCAGTTCCTGGTGTGTAAATGATTATTTTTTTTTCTGTCCAATACGGAAGAGAGCGAGGGTAAGAGGAGCCACTTCCAGTGTATCAGCACACCAAAGTCTCCTCAGCAGGGTCTCTGCCAAGTCAGCAGCTACCCGGAGAGCTCCACTCATTACTGCCATTCACTCCTCACTCTGTGGGTCTGTGTCGGCCACTCGCTCTGCTTCATGTTCGTCCTGGAAAGATAAAACTCATTATCAGAGTGGATAGACGGACTCCTCTGACCTGTGTGTTTGTGTATGTGTGTGTATGTACATGCATGTGTGTGTGCGTGCGTGCATGTGTGTGCGTGCGTGTGTGTGTGTGTGTGCGCGCGCCTTGGGCATAGATTGATTGGAACGGTTTTTGTAGTCCAGGTGTGTCTGATACCTTTTGTTGCTGTAAAGGACTTACCCTGCAGCTGCGCTGAAACACACACACACACACACACACACACACACACATTGCTTTCTCAGGACAAACCAGGCAATGAGTGATCATGACGGGGAATCTAAACTACTTAAGGCAGTCGTACTCTTTCTGTGGTGACTCCACAGACGGACAGATCATTGGCTGTCTTTGTGTTCGTTCTCTGATATTTCCGGAAGTTAAAACATTTTTTTTCTTTTTACAAAATGTGAAAATAAAAGTTCAACTAAAACGTTTTATTTTCACTGTTAGGATTTTATAATTAAAGCATCTTAGATGTGACCCTGGCTCTCCACATTTATACAGATACATAACACTTTTTGATTTTAAAGTGTGAACAATTTTGATCTAAAAAGTGCTAAAAACTAAAAAGGTGGTATGTTCTAATAATACATATATATTCATGATACAGTGATGCTGTGTGTGAAAACACTGACGGTATTTCTTCTGTGCTCACTTTTGTATGGACAGGCTATCTGCTGCACTTTGGTGAACTGTAACTGTGACAGCTTCAAGCCCGGGAAGCTGAAGAGGAGGCAGTGTGAAAATTGTAAGCACGGCTGGGTGGCACATGGTAAGAGCTCACTACCACCGCAGAGACTATCAACTTTGAATAGCATGTCTGGTTAGGGACAGGCATATTCTTATGGCGTTATTATGTATTAATACCTACATTCTTGATTAATATTAATTGTAGCATCTTGCCCAGCAAAGAGTGTTTTTGTGTTTGTGTGATTTACTCCTAAAGTTTAATTCAGGTGCATCAAATTAGCAGCATGCATTATGAACTCAATCGTATACAGACTGTGTGATGGCCATATGCATTCTCAAATGATCACAATTAGGAAGGAGTGACACTATATTGGTGTGGCATTAGTATATAAGGGCCATAATAAAGGAATACACACAATGATTATTAATGGTTAATAATCATTTTAATGCTAATGTTTGTTTTGTATATTATCGGTCTGTCTTTTTAGCGGCTCACATGCGGCTTGTTTCTTGTAACAGAGCGAGCATTGAATTTTTTTTACTGCCGTGAACCACATACTTTGATGAACGGTGAATGAATTCAGAAAAGCAACAACGCTATTAAATGAGAATAACAAAAATTTACAATATGCTAACTAACATGTTTTCAAGCCGCAGCTTTAATGTAAACCATGAAGTACTTTGTGGGCAGTAGAGACTCATGAGAAGATGTCAGTCTGAGCTGTGATGAATGTTGGCCTCCATAGTTTAAAGTGTTAGTTGTCTTTCGCTTGAAACAGAAAAGTCCTTTTTTTAAAAAAAAAAACAAAACAAATTTTAACATGTTCTTAGATTTGATTTGATTGGTTCAGTCGGTGATAAACTGATGGTGTACAGCTCAGAGGAAAGTTGTTCTCCTGTAATAAATCAGGCTAAACATGTGGAAAAGGCGACACAACCTGACACAGCTTTACAATGTTTTCTTGAAAATCCTTAATCTCTAGTATTTTTATGTTATGTTTCATGTTGTGTTATGTTCTATATCTTTTAGTTAACACTTGGCACTTGATGGCCATTCAGAGACCAGTGTACTCTCATAAAGACTAATCCAGTGAAATCTGCTGTGTGTGCTTTAGCTCTGAGTAAGCTGAAGGTGCACCACATGTACCAGAGCAGCCAGGTGGAGATTGTGCACTCCAATGTGGTGTTTGATATCTGCAGCCTCATGCTATATGGGACCCAAGCCATTCCAATCCGCCTCAAGATCCTCCTAGACCGCCTTTTCTCTGTCCTGAAGCAGGAAGAGGTGATCCAGATTCTTAACGCTCTTGATTGGACTCTGCAGGACTACATACGAGGATATGTGCTCCAGGTGAGTGAGAAGGGAGGGGGGTGTTTTTTTTTTTCCAGGTTTTTTTTATGAATGGTTTTATAGATAACCTATTAAGTGTTAGTCTGATGCAACCATAGACTGTTTATACTATGGACAACTTGGTTCCGCCTTCCGCCAGTATACAGATTTAAAGCCGAAAAGCTCTCTGTATTTCTGCGATTTTTCTCCACGTCCTGAAACCAACATTGTGTAGTACCATTGTACACATTTGGCGGGAAAGTCGCTGTGATGACGCTTGGCTCAAAAAGCGTACCCCCAAGTGAGCTATGCAATCTTCGTACACCCATTGGCTGTATCAAGTGTCAATCATAGAAAACATAAACCCCTTAATAACTTTTTAAAAATGGAGCTGCACAGAAAAAAAGAGGACTTGAGCACAAACCAGTCTTACAATAATTACATGTCAACATCACAACCAGGGGGGAGAAAAAATTATATTCTGTGTAATAAATTTCTAAAGTTTGTCCACAGCTCCATAGGGATTGCTGGAGGAGGTGGGATTTATGACCTATACTGCAGCCCGTCACCAGAGGGTGCTGTTCTCGGGGTGGCTCCACCCAACGAGGAGGCAGACAGTGTCCATTCTATATACAGTCTATGGTTTTAACTCTTCCATTCTAACTCCTTCCCAGTTGCCTGTATTTAACATTGGGCCCTCTGATTTATTAAACTCAAAACTAAATCTCATGCTAAGAGAATGACAGCATAACCGTTTACTCCATAGTTTGAAAGTTGTCCTTTTTAGAAGGAAGCCCCAATATCAGTATGGAGGGTGACAAATTAGAGGGGACAGGAGAGCAGTTGCTCCAATACCACAAGCTACGGGGGTCTTTAAATCGTGCCTAGTTGATTTGTAAACAGGGTTGTTCGCTCCAGATCTCCTCTTTAGCCACATACCAGCCGGCCAGAGTCCAGGCTGCAGCACTGTGTCAGCAGCGTGGGTTCTCACTTCGATTAATTCATCATCAAGTATTCAAGTTGGGCTACATTTAATTCATGTTAGCTCTTCTAATGGCAAACGTAGAGTCAGAATCCTCGACAGGCACCCGATGAATGCTCTGTGATGAAATATTAATCACGGTTATGGCATGAACCCGCTCCTCTCTTTCAAAGACACCCAAACTCACATGTGATTACTGCTGGGCTGAGAGAGAGAGGACCTGCTTGATCAGTGTGAGCTTCTGAACCCCCCCCCCCCCACACACACACACACACACTCTACTTGTGTGTTCTATGTGTGTAAGTGTGTGTGTAGTATATGGTGTGTAGTATGTTTGTGCACATATTTATTTTTTGCATGCACTTGAAGATATGAATGAGCGAATGTACTGCTAGTATGCATTATCCCACTGTGTGTGTGTGTGTGTGTGTGTGTGTGTGTGTGTGTGTTCTCTGCCTGCTTCAGCTGATCAACATCATTTAAATGAAGAGTAACAACCCGCGAGAAGAAACACTGTGTGTCTGTGTAATGAGAGTTCTCAGGGTTCTCGGCTGCCCACTTACATTAACACTCTATCTGATTCCTTTATTTAGCCGCCCTGCCACTCTGTTTTATGGGTTGTGTCATCTGGCCTAGGCTCTGAATATATATGAGCAACCCAACGGACACTTATAATGCTAATGAGGAAAATGTTCTCTCCTTTTCCTGATTTGACTTTCCCTCTCCTTTTCAATCTATTTCACACCCTCATCCACTCCTCCCTTACCCCGTACACTGTTGCTGTCTGCAGGATATAGCAGGAAAGGTGCTTGATCGGTGGGCCATCATGACTTTTGAGGAAGAGATAGCTACGCTCCAGCAGTTCCTACGCTTTGGGGAGACCAAGTCTATTGTGGAGCTGATGGCTCTGCAGGACAAAGAAGGCCAGGCAGTATTGGTTCCCAGCACCCGCACCAATTCTGATATCCGTACCTTCATCGAGAGCAACACTCCACGCACTGCTGCTAACCTTTCTGCATCCAAAGTTGAGAAGCTGAGTGGCAGCAGTATGCATCACTTTGAGAACTTCATCAACAGCATGGCGTTCATGCTACCTTTCCAGCTCCTGGGCTCTGTTCCAACACCGTTCCTGGGCACACCGATAGGAGGACTGCAGCAACAGCAGCAGCAGCACCAGCAACCATGCCACAGGTTAATGGAACAACAGAGTCAGAGACGAGATGACCAAGTGCAGGATGGTTTAGGGAGAGAAAACCCCCTCTCTCTTTCACACCCTCCAGAAAGCAGTCTGCTTGGCTCAAGCTCTGTCTCATTTACTGCCGATCCAGACCGAAGCAGAGATAAACCATTGGACAGCCTCTCTACTACCACAAAAACAGAGGCAGAGGACTTTTCAACTAGTGACAACTACTCTGATGGACCCTCTACTCCATGCACGCCCTCCATGAGCTCTGATGCAACACAGATGTCCCCAGAGAGCAAGCTGCGCACTCTGGACAGAAACGGGGGCAGCAATGGAGCAGGTGGTGGTGGAGGAAGCTCTCTGAAGAAGGGCCGTGTGTTTTGCAATGCTTGTGAAAAAACTTTCTATGACAAGGGCACTTTAAAAATCCATTATAATGCAGTGCACCTGAAAATTAAGCACAAGTGTACAATCGAGGGTTGCAACATGGTGTTCAGCTCACTGCGTAGTCGCAATCGCCATAGTGCCAACCCGAACCCACGGCTTCACATGCCCATGAACCGAAACAACAGGGACAAAGATCTGCGGGGCAGTTTGTCTGCCGATGAGAGCTCGCAAGGAGAGAAAAGGTCTGAGTATGGATCCCAGATGCCTGTCTGCTCTGCAGAAAGTCACAAGTCTGTGCCCAACTACATGGTGAGCCACATGGACTCAGGCTCTAAACTCCACAGCAGCTCCTTCCCGAGCATCAGCCAGAGTGGCATCCTCTTCCCCAACTTAAAGACAGTACAGCCAGTACTGCCTTTCTACCGAAGCCTGGTTACCCCAGCAGAACTGGCAAACACACCAGGAACACTACCCTCCCTTCCTCTGTTGTCCTCCTCTGTACCTGTAAAACCCACCACTGCTCCTGAATCTTACATGGCAGACCCTATACCAAAGAAAAAGTCCCGTAAGTCAAGCATGCCTATAAAGATAGAGAAAGAGGCAATGGAACGAGATGAGCTGATGGATAAGGACAACAGCTCCGAGGATGAGGCGCCTTTACACAGCCATGACAAAGATGGCTGTGTTGATAGCCGAGTGGGGGGGCACATGTGCCCAAGACAATCTGAGGAGGAGAGAGAGAAAAGAGGGACTTACATTGGGGAAGAAAAGGAAAGAGAGAGTGAGAAGCATTTACTGGACCAAACTGTAGAGAGAGAAATGACGGGACACCTGGACAAAAACGACAGGCCAAAGCTTGCTGACACAGGGGTTGTCTCCTGTCCATCATCCCCTTTTGAAAACAGACTGGTAGATAATCACTGTGACAACAACGTACTCTGTCAGGAACCCAACAGTAATGTAGGAAAGGAGGACAGTGAGCACACAAACTTGATTTCAGATCTACGATGGGACGGGGGTGAGCACAGGGTGACAAACGGCGGCACCTCCCAGCTCACAGACCACGACAGGGACAGCTCTGATGGCTGTTTGAATGACTATGGGGACTCAGGTTTGTCTCACCTTGACTCTGATGCTGACCTTCCACACCACTGTGAGATCTGCAGTAAGACCTTCAAGAGCCCCTACAGTGTCAAGATGCACTACCAAAATGTCCACCTGAAGGAGATGCACATGTGCACAGTGGATGGATGCAATGCCGCCTTTCCTTCCCGCAGGAGCCGAGACAGGTTAGGAGTGGTGATCCTTTCTGTTTTTTTAGGCTCCCAGAGCAAAAAACATGAACTTTCATCATTTCCAAATAAGCAGGAATTAATCACAGGTATAAGTTACTGCTAGAGTTTATCAGCTCACACCTTAGCATGTACAAAATATTATTGGTGATCAGTCCTTTGTCCTTTAAAGACCCACTCCAATGAAAATCATGCTTTTCTTGTTGTCCACATATTCATATGGCATTTTCTTATGCTACAGGACATATCATGAGGAAAATAAGTGCAAAATTGCATTTCTGAGTGTTTCTGCATTCAATTCACTGTGAATTTCTGGCAGATCCAAACAGCAGGTTCAGATATAATGAGATTTCATACATCACAACTCCAAGCTCCACCCCCGGAGCCCAGCTATTCAGGCCAGACTGGAAAAAGTAGAGAGGACAATAGCAGAACAATCGTGTCCGTTGGTAGATTGCAATACTCCTATGAAAGCTAATTATGATACTGACTTTCATCATGTCCCTAAAGACATTAGTGTCCGAGAGCTGAATAACTCCTATGTTACCTGCTACTTCTACTACACTGGCAGTGTTAGGCTGCAAGCTAGCGTGAAGAGGATTGTGCAGATAGAGCAGCACTAGCTCCACCCACGGCTTAGAGGCGAATTGCTAATGAACTACTGCAGCTCTGCAGAGAAAAAGCCCTTGAAAATGACACAAGTAACGTGATTTTGGCAAAAAAAACGTCATAATCACAATTTATAGACTACTGAAAACACTTAAAGTAGCATGAATAAACGATTGGAGTGGGACCTTAAAGAAAGATAAATACAAAGGCTGAGTCGATCCTACAAGAGCTCTCATCCCTGAGTGTAGATAGAAGGAATATTACCAAGAGCACCACTACAGTCGTTGACAGTTCTGGAGTATATCTAAGCCTCTATGATAAAAAAAAGACTGAAGCTGGTATCAGAAGTCTAAACCCAGCATTGGCTTTTTAAAACAAACTCTAAGAACAATCATTAATCTGGGAAAGATGTAGCACTGTTGGCAGAGGTGGAGAAACCCTTGTTCAAACACTGTGCTTCAAAGATGGCAGAATAGAAATGACAAAAATGAATCTAATTAAATTTTTTAAGCTGTCTGTATGTTGCTGTCATTTTTTTAGTTTAACTTCTTTTTTTTTTTATCTACAGACACAGCGCAAATTCAAATCTGCACCACAAGCTGCTGACCAAAGATTCCTACATCCCGACTAGCACACACTACTCTCCCTCATCCCAGTGCAGAGACAGAGACTCTGTCAGCCTGGACTACTGCCAAGACCAGCGGGACAGAGACCTGCCCTATCGAGACTCCACTAGCCAGACCTCGGTCATCTTCCGAGGCCACAACCGTATGGGCTTGGTCTTCCCTATGAGCAAAATTTCCTCTGCACCGTACAGCGCCGATGCATCTCCCATAGGTGAGGCGGGGAGCATGGAGGAAGAAGGGGAAGGAGGGGGAGGCGGGGAGGATGGAGGAGTCCTGGACCTGAGTACTGCCTCTGCTGCTCCACCTCGTAGCAGTGTCCGATCTTCCTGGGACTCTGACGGGGCCTGTAGTGAAGAAGGGGAGGAAATTGAAGAGGATGAGGAGGTCCTCCCTATAGGGGACAGTGAGGAGAGCTGCGACGGAGTTGGCGTGGGACCTGGGGGGGAAGAGTTGGCACTTGGGAGAGAGAGGACCTTGGGCTCCACTGAGGGGGAGCAGGGTGGACTTCAGGGAGGTGGCGGCGGATCCCCGATAACCTGTCATGTATGTCAAAAGGTGTACAGCAACAAGGGCACGTTCAGAGCTCATTACAAGACTGTCCATCTACGACTGCTTCACAAGTGTAAAGTTCCCGGCTGTGAAACATCCTTCTCGTCTGTGCGCAGCAGAAACAGACACAGCCAGAACCCGAACCTCCATCGAAACCTCACTGTTAGCTCAGGGGCAGCGATAGACCAGGAGTAAGAATCTGGACTCTTATGCCAACAGGACTGATTTCCTTTGCTTCAGTGTTCTCTTTGTTGGTGTTTTTTCGGGCACCACCTAAAGGTTTACCAATCAGCACTTTTAAAATACACACTGCTGTCCACCCTGTTTCAAAACTTCATCCTTCCTTTTGAATAGTGATGAGAACTTTCACACGTTTCTTTCTTTGATAACAGCAAAATAATGCAAAAACTGAAAACATGATATGCATCTCTGTGTTGTGAATCATTATTAAAAGAACGGTCTGTACTCCAGCTCCAGTAAGTGAACCCTTCAAAATGCAGAAATGCAGATTCAGTGTCTCGGCATTTTGCTGTAATGCAGTATTGATTCCTTTTGATTGTTTTGAGCAGTTCAATGAATTAAAACAGTTTTGTGTGAACTGAATTTTAGGATGTTTTGTCTTAGTGAAAGTTGAGCCATTTTTTTCCTGGTGTTTTTGTTGTCAGATGTCTCCATCTTCCCTGTGAAGCTGTGCATATTGTCTTAATCAGAAACAGTAGTGAAGTAAACCATCCATGTGTCATTTCATTTGGACAATGGTGTTCAAAAAGGAGTCTTTGTTGCAAAGCTATTGTGTTGTAAACTTGACTAAGAATAAGTTATTGTATGGTGTTCTCTGATCTGTCTCCACTGTTTTTGGTTGTTACAAACTGCCAAAGTTGACCAAAGATTTTTCTCAGTAGTCCACAGATCTATCTATAGAAACCCTTCACACTGTCTGCAGTATTAAAGGGCGTGCTCACTCACATATGCTGTGTAATTATCAGCAGTGTTCAGGCTTTATTGGAGACTATAGAATCAAATTCACACACGGATTAAAAAACTGAAGACTTCTTCCTTCAGACTGCTGCGTTATATCAGCTTCACTTAGTTTTTCCATCATGGCGACTCCTCGTGTGACTTGACTTGATTAAGGAGTTGTGCTGGTGCTGTTTGTGTGGTTGTATGCAGTTTCTAACTGGCTAGATAAACAGCTCAAAATAGTTGTGTCTAGAGGATGGAAGCATGTACTGTGAATGAGTCAAACACTGGGAAAAAATAATAATAATAATAATGATAATGGGAAAATGACACTTAAAATGACGGCCCCGTATGAGCACATCTACTCAGCAGAACTGGTACAAATGTTCATTGAACTGTATATTCTGTGAATAGTGTTATTTGTTAGGCTATCTGAAAGAAACCAAAAAATATACTGTACAACAAATTTCACTGCTAAGGTGACATGTTTTCTTTTGTGTCTTTTTTTTCTTTGTTTTTAAAAGTGAATGAACAAGAAGATAATGTTGTACATGTCTGATGATTTCACCACGGTTTACACTTTCAGTTTCTGTATCTGCATTGTTTTTTCAGTCTGTATTTAAATGCCGTGGGCCCGCTGTTCAAGTTTGGATTTGTCGAAAAAAAAAGGAACAAAAAGACAAATGTTAAAGGTGATCATGTTTCCTTTGGTTTATTGTTACAATACTCATTCCTATTAAATAAAAAGCCATATGTTTGCTAGCCTCATTCATTCTACTTTCTACCGTGTGTGTCTGCGCGCGTGTGTGTGTGTGTTTGTGTGTGTGTGTGTACAAAAGAGCAGGATACACTATTGGAAGCCTACATAGATTTCTAATATCACTCACTGATCAGACGCTGCAGTGACTGGAGCTTTACAAAACTGAACAACAGCACATAAATATTCATTTATTTATTTATTTGACCAAACTGTTTAGAACCAGCCCTTACAAAAAAAGCGTCGCCATTTTCTAAAAAATTTACATCATGATAATACAACTCACTGTTGACAGCCATGTCCTGATATGTCTTTGTCCTGGGGATCCTAATCAACAATGACTGATTTATCATAAGAACATAAAACCATGTTACTTTGATAAGCATGTGTATTAAATTTTAATTTTTACATGACTTCCTTTTTTTATTTGAACCCAAATTTTCCTTTTTTTTTCTTTTTAATTTCAGATGGACAGAAATCCTGAAGTCCCCCATGACAGTATTTAATTGATCCTGTTTATTTTGCTGTCTGCATATGTTTAATAAAACATCCACCTAAGTCTCTCAGTCTTTTCTCCTCATTCATTACTTTCATTAAATTGTAGAATTTTGTCAAATAAAAAAAAATAAAGAATAAAAAAACATTTTGAACCCACCATTTAATATATTGTCCATCAGCACACTTGCTTCCTCGGCCTCGCTATCACCACTGGGTGCTGAAAAACTGACATTGGTCGACCAGCAGAGCAGATATTATTCCAGAGCTCTGGGGTTCAGGGAAAGAGTGCCCTTACTTCTGTTGTCTTCAAAACAGTAAAAAATCAGGACCATTTTTCTGTCTCTCACCAAAGCACCACAGCAGCAAAAAGCTCGCCACAGCCCAGAGTGTGTGGAAGTGTGAGGGACTCTTCAGTGCCGCCTGAAGCTTTAACTCATTTTTGTAACTTGGAAAATAGACTTTACACAAAATATACAGATATGTGTGCAGTACAACAAATTGTGATAATTCTACGGCAGACACCTGACATGGCCTGTGTGAGTGATGAAGACTCCAATAAGCCCAGTCCCCCTTAAGTAATACAGACTATTACGTTTTTGGGAGTTTACACTGAACTGTACCAATTCAATTCCCATCAAATTTATCCATTCGTTATATTTACCGCTTTTCTTGTCCATGGTCAGGGTCAGGGATCGGGGTTGAACCTATCCCAGCTGTCATTGGTTAGCGGCCCCAGACAGGTCAATTGTCCAACACAGAGCTGACATACAGACTCAACCATTCATGCTCACGCTTACAGCGACGGGAAATTTGAGTGGCCAATTAACCCGGTGAGCATGTTTTTTGGACTGTGTTTGGAACCTGAGGTTCCCAGAGGAGACCCAAATGTGAAAAGGGAGAACATGCAAAGTCTGCACTGAGGGGCCCTGCTGGAGATTCGAACCAAGAACCTTTTTGCTGTGAGTCAACAATCCTAACCATTTTACCATCATGCAGTCCCCATCATGTTTAGTTACAAAGCTCCAGAGAACAAAAAGCCTCTATTCCTCGTGCGCTTGTGTTGTTTTCCACCGGTCTGTTCCTCACAGAGGTGGACAGAGAGAAGCGTGGTTTGTATGAGTAAACTCCAGAGTGATTTAAAACTGTCAAAACTCATTTCATTTAAATACTCTTATCATTGACAACATGACCCCGTGAACAATGCCTGTTTTTAAGAATCATTCATGCTCACTATTTTATTTACTAGTTTGCCCCTTTCTATAATTCTATAATCTGTCAGGTTATGTAATGTTTATTAAGACGTGCTGCTGACCTCTCGGCTAGGTCACCCTCATGAAACAGATCTCAATCTCAATGTGTTAATTAAAGGTTAAAAATAAACAAATATGAAAATAAAACCAAATTTATTGTAATGAATTATTCTTGAATCGTGTTCCAAACCGTCTTTTTTATGGAGGGAGTCACACCCCTAATTTACATTTACCTATAAATTCAAAAATGTATAAACACATATGTAGGTATGTGGATTTGATCTACACGCATACACACATTTACACATTTCATACACACGTTTACACATTTCATACAGACAATATCAAAGTGTTACACAGTACGTCAAAGACACATATCCCAGGGAAATAAATGAATGTGCTCCTCTTTCTGCGGCAGTCACAACAGATCTAACCAGTCGAAGACTGATGGACAGAGAATATTTCACAGAAGACAACATCCAACTCAATGTCATTAAGTAGAGCTGAAGTTAAAATAAATATTTCTCAAGATTGACTCGAAACAAACAGTTTGACCTGATTTATGATCTCCACAGTGGAAGCATTTCAGATCATTTTGGTCTTTGCAACAAACAAAACTCTCCGGTCGATTACAGTGACTTTGTCTACTGTCTCTGTTCCTCGTGACAAGCCTTGGCCTCACTCAGAATCTCCTCTTGGCCTACCTTTGTCAACAGTGGTAGGTCCTCTCAGATGAAAACTCCTCTGGACTTTGATCAAAACTGGGCTTTGAGGTTCATGAAAACATCTGTCTGATGACTTATCTTCTTCTACTCGGTTTGTTTTGGGGAAACAATCTAAAAACAAAGTAACTTCTTGTACTTCCATGAGTGTGTACATTTAGACAAGCTGTATGAAAGACAGTTTTACCACTGTTTTAATATGAAATATTTCCCCAGCTGAACATGAATGACTTCAGAAGGTAATCTGAGGCTCATGTAAATGTGGATGTATCGTCAGAAAACACACACACCGGTACAGCCACAGATATGCAGACACACAGGTGGAATAAAAGACAGCAGCTCCTAAGTCTACACAGAAACCTGCTGTTGTTTTCAGGCAAAGGATTTATTTGTCGCAGTTTGTGATCTGGTGCTCGATCGTATCGTGATTTTTGTGATCCTTCCTTTAGGCTTGGTAAAATGAAAGTGCCTCAGAGATTGAAATTTGCATTGCTGAAAAATGGAATACACTACACCTCTGTGAAAAAAAAGCTCTCACAGCCACTGAAGAGCTGAATTAATCACAGTTGCACCACTATGGAAAGTTAAAGGGCAGGGATGGAAATGGACCAGGGACAGTGGAAGTATCGCTGGGCCCACATTGAAAAAAGCGAGGAGGACAAATCTGTTACACAACGTGCCAAAGTATCGCACTATTACAGAAAGCTGAAAGCCTTGCATAACTCAACAATTCAACCCACCCGTCACATTTACTGTACATTAGTGAGCCTGCAGAGCTGTTCCTCATCACTTAGGAGCTGAAAAACCCAGTTCTGACAAGTGGCCCCCATCCTTTTCTCTGGCACGCAGCAGAAATCTAGTACCACTCAGTGAGGGCACAATGGGTTATTTCAGTCCCTCCTGTGTGCTGCATGTAGGCGACAAAATTCAGCAGAGAACATGGTTGATCTGCAGAGGTGGAGCACTTGCTTGGCTTCCTCTACAGAGCTGTATCTGTTTCTGGAACAGCTTGTATCTGCGAGGCTATTTTTAAGAAGCAGTGGACCACTATCAGAAATGGTTTGGTGGTATATATGGAACAGAACTGGAAAAATGGAGCCTTTCCTGCAACGGTTTGACTTTCAGGAAAGATTGTTTTTACAGACTGAGAAAGATTTTTAAAAATTCTGTATCTAATAATTCTCTTTTTGCTCCTCTTTGACCCTGACCCTTTCTCAAAGATGTAAAGATGCGTCTTGACTGAAATAGAAGATTTAGGGGTGACCATGTAGATCAGCGCAAAGACACAAGTAAAGGTGAACTGATCCAACAGTGTGCTGTGAATGACTGTATTTATTATGTCCTCTTATGACTCTACACACTTTAACACTACATATCACATTCACCCATGCACACCACATCCATGCACCAGAATACCGTGCAAAGTGCTCATTGATATTAACTAATCCCATTCACACACCACTGGCACAGCCAACAGGGGTGGTTTGGAATTACGTGTCTTGCCTCAGGCACAGGACAGATAGTCAGACCTGGGATCAAACCCCCACCTCCCATCTGAAAGATGACGGACTACCACTGAGCCACAGCTGCCACCCATAAAAAGACTAACAAGAGACATGGAGACAGTAAACAGAGGTGAGCTAAGACACGAACAACGGTCTGTTCAGCTTCCATCACACTTTGCAAACTTTTGTAGCAGCTAAATTACAGTCAAGAGATTTAACCAGGAAACAACATGCTGTCTGAAGCTCTGCTCTCTCCATTTGATTTCAGAAAATTACATTTGATCAGTTTATTGCTGAGTAATAAAACCTGTCGATGCTGCAGCTGTTTTTATGTCTGTTTTCATCCGTACTTGGCGGTAGGACAAACAGTGAAGGCCTGGTTTGGGCGGACTGACAGAGGAAAAGTTCACACGCTCAAGGATATTTTATGAGTCAAGTTTGGGTAAAACAAAAAAACAGTGGAATTGAGCCCTCCAAACAACACTGCTGCTGATCTCCACACATGTTCAAGCCAGGGGTCTTTCTGGGGCACTGACATTGGATTCCACCTCTCTGTCCTGGGACGGGGATCAGGGCCGGCAGGGGGGTTGTCGATCAGAGTGGGACTGGAGAGTAAGACAGCAGGGTGGGGAGAATGGATTGTCCACGGGTGCTTGGGAGGCTGAACAGTATGAGGGGGAATTACTGCCTCGAACAGCAGCCAGATGGACAGCAGATGACTTTTGTGTGTTCAAGATACTGCAGGCTGAAAGCAGGGGGGAACGATTCGGGTAAAGGCCTCAGTTTTATCGGATTTTTCTCTTGGGATGGTAAAATAACCTAACGTTATCTTTGCCCTGTAATGTCCAGTTGAAAACATAAACACATAATGGTTCTTACAGACTTGTTGAAAGCTTTAAGCACTGTGGGTCATGTGATTCTGAAACAGTGTCCTATAACCTATCTGAAATACGTTAGTTTCCATTCAGTGATGAACACAATTTAAAATCCAGGGCCAGCCTGTCAGGCGTGCAAGGACAAGAGTGACAACTGCTGCAAGACTGCCTCCTGCTGGTGCAATAGCAAACCTCTGATCCCATCAGTATCAGCTCCTCTACAGACCTGCACTGCCCTCTAGTGCTGTGGAAAAACAAGACTGAGAGCAGCTTTTTCAGCAGGGACCTCCAATACTAACTGTGGTACAAAGAGAGGTGGGGTCTAAAAAAGCAATCTGGGGGTACAGAGGGGTTTAAGAGGCTGTTTGCAAAGCTGGTAGAGAGGAAGAATGAAGGTCAGATTACTGGCTGGGTTATCCGGAGTTGTGGTTCAGGAAATAGACCCGTCCTGTAAACTAATGTGAGCAGATTAAAAGGTTAGCAGACATTTAAGCTCTTTATTTTATGTTCAGTCAATCATATTATGCATTTAAAGTACTGAGCTCTTTTTTAGGTTTATTGTAACATGTTAAGATGTTGAAGTTGAAAACATCTCTTGAAAAACGTGTTTAACAATATTATTTAAAAAGGTCTATTTGATAAGTTAGGGACAAAGTACCAGGACCACTGATATAAAGATGCAGATCATGTTTCCAACTGTAAACAATGTGCAGAATAATTTTAGGTCATCTTATATCAGTTTGTTTACAGCTAAGATAAAGAGACTTCAGGGTATAAATAAAATAAAATAAAATTAACCATGTTTGTATTTATACTCAAAATAAAATATTGAGTAGAAACATTTAAATATTGCAATGACAGAGAAATGCACAAAAATAAGGATGACATAACACAAACAAGAAACAGCACAGTATGGAAAAGAAGAAGACCTCTCCACCTCCAGCTGAGGTCCTGCCTGTCATGCAAACCCACTGAAGTAGTCATCAGCAGCTCACTTACAACATCAACAAAAAAGAACTATACTCATAATCCAGATTAGGGTTATAAAGACCGTGATGAGGATTATTTCTGACCAGGACTTCCATAATTGGAGTGTCTATGAGAACACTTTCCAGGTAGTATCACTTTGTCTCACAATCTGAATTGTATGCAGCCTTATTTTAAATGTCAAATGGCACATTTTTCTCCACTAAGCCTGTCAGAAAGCAGATGTGGGGCCAATACAGCAGAATCCGAGAGTTAAACATAAGACGAATTCAAGATCCTCTCCATTGTTTTTATGTCATTCAGCTATTCTGCTTTGATCAATACTTTGTATGATTGCTTATTATTTCATAAAGAAATATATGAATACCCAGCCAATCTAATGCAACTTAACACAAAATCTCCACCATGAATTCAACTGTTATAAAGTTTCTGCGTGTTTCTGCTGGTCAGACAGGTGACAGCTGTTCTGTAAAAAAGTACTGAAGTTAGAGTGGATGTTGAAGGAGTGCTAGAGTCCATTCTGTTGGGACAGTAACAAACACGTTTACTCACTAGTGAGCTAGAGGAGCAAAATTAATTCAACTAATTAACCAGTGACATAGTGTGACTGCCAGACATGTTGCCTAGTAAAATTGTGTTGCATGACTAGTTAACAAGTGATACAAAAGGCTTTTCTCTAGTTAGCGTGTGAGCAAAATATCATGCTGCTAGCTAACTTGTTCATTTTTCTGGATACAGCTAGTTCACTAAAAAAAAAAAAACTGCAAGTACATGTTAACATGTAAAGCCAGAAACGCCATAAGCAGTAGACAAAGTGGCTCTAACTAGTTGACATTTTGACAGGTAAAATTTTGAAGCTTCATGTAAGGTCACAATAAACCCCAACTAGTTAATGAGTAAGCACTGTTCTTGTTACTTGTTGACATGTACATACCAAGAGGCACTCTGTAGTTTACATGCTGCAGTTTCTAAGGCAACAAAACAAATAACATAATAACAAAATCCTGACTTTTCATCAGTTGTCATGTTTAGTTTTGGAGTGGGGAGTCAATAGGAAGCCTCATTGCATGCTCCTCACACATCATCATAAGTTTTTGTTTCTGTAACTAGTTAACTATCGCATATTTTTCCTTGAACTAGTAAGCTAGTATACATGTTAAAATAGGCAACTTGTGCAACTAGTTCACTAGTAAAAATGTTGGGTCCATCTAGTTTACAAGTAAGGCCAAAAAGGGATGAACTAGGTAACTAGTGAGCATGTTGGGCTTCACTTGTTATCTAGTGAGCATTTCAGCCTTTTCTAGTGAAGTAGTAACATACAATTGTATGCACTAGTTCACTAGAAACCATAATTCATGATTGACGAGTTAACATGTTAGAGTTTTTGCAGCTTACTAGTGAACTAGTGTGTGTTTTTGACATGTGATATCAAGGATATCGAATGAATACTCACCTGACTTTTCATAGAAGCAGAGTAATTGTTTTGTGTTACACGACAGGCCAAAAGTTTGAAACGCAAGATCAGATTTGTACAAAAAAAGACCATAGTTTCATTAATATAATTTGCAACACAATAAACATGACTATTGTGTAAAGAGTAACTTATCAGAAGACATTTTGACTATAATTATTAGGTATTGGAGTTATTGTTGCTTAGACTTTGCTTTCTTTAAAGTAACCTCCTCTGGCTTTAACAACAGCTTGGCATATACCAGGCATTCGTTCCACAAGTTTTTCTAAGGTATGTTCCAGGGATTGCATTCCAAGCTTTCTTAAGTTCATTAAAAAGATACTGCTGATTTGTGGGACGTGTTTTTCTGACCGGTCTATCCAATTCATCCCACACAAGCTCTATTGGAGAAAGGTCTGGAGACTGAGGGGGCCAAACCATCTTTTGAAGAACACCTTCCTCTTCTTTTTTTGTCTAGGTAACCCTGACAGAGCTTGGCAGAGTGTTTAGGGTCATTGTCCTGCTGCAAAACAAAGTTATGAGCCACAAGTCTGAGTCCAGATGGAGCAGCATGGTGCTGGAGGATGGAGTGGTACTGTTCCTTCTTCATGACACCCTTTACTTCAAACAAATCTCCTACTCCATCACCTGCAAAACATCCCCATACCATGGAACTGCCACCTCCATGCTGAATTGTGGGTGTAACACATGGTGCTTTCAGACGATCACCAGTTTGTCTGCGGACATAGACTCTGCGGTTTGAACCAAACAGTTCAAACTTGTTTCTAGTCATCATAGGTCAAATTTTTGTGAGCTTTTGCCCACTCATATCTCTTTTTCTAGTTCTGTGGACAAAGTAGTGTTTTTTTTTTTGCAGATACACAACCCTTCAGACCAGCCTTTCTCAAACATCTTTTCACGGTTGTCAGAGATATGGGTTTCGACCTTGTCATGTTGATTTCCTCCCTTATTTGTGGTGCTGTCTTTTGCTGATCTCTCTTACTGGTGACAATGCTATGTTTATCGTCTGCTTTTGTAGTAACTCTCTTTCATCCAGGCCTTTTTCTGCCATCATAACTTCCAGGTCCCTCAAGTCTCTTCAGAGTCCTCCTTTGTTAGACACCATTAGGCGTTTTGCAATTTCTCTTTCTGTGTATCCTTCTTTTCTCAATGTACAAATCTGTACTTTTGTTTCTTTACTCAGTTGCTTCTTTCTAGCCATTTCTGCAGTAGTTTGATGCAGTTGAGATTTATTGGGATTTTTGTATGCAGACTCCCAAAAGCCAAAAAGTTGAAGTGAATAATCCAACTGTGATTTGTTTTTTTTGCTTTTGCACTGAAGTTGTGACTCTTGCAAATGTTTTTGACCCTACAACTAAGCCCTTATATTCTTTTGCTGACATATATTTAGCAATGGTCTGTTAACATCAATGTATATCTAAAGGTAAATGGAGTAAAATGGTGCATTTCCATGAAAGCAACATCTGATTGCGGAGTAAATACATCCCAAAATACATAAAACTTATGCTGGATTTTTTTTTTAAAGAATTGTGAACAAAAACTTGAAGTTACTCCCAACTGTTTAGCTTGTAATGGCCTTGCTTCCAAACTTTTGGCCTGTAGTGTAAATTGGATTGTCAGGTGTTGGCTGATCAGTGTAGATCTATCCCTGTATTTATTACAATAATAGATGACCTGTAGTCTGCTGAACATTTTCAACGTCTCGCTGTTGCTCACTGTATTTCCCCCGCAATCAAGCAGCTGTCGGATTGTGGATCTGAAAGCGCTCACATCTCTGCAGGTCAGGAAACACTCTACTGTTCGGCCCCATAGCAAGGATCCTCCATATGCAACTCAGGCTTCTGGTTTTGACTTTCAAAATAAAACGCAAACCACATCACAACCCGTTCACCATCAAGACTTATCTAAGACTTAACACTGCACCAAAACAACACCTAACTGTGCTTTATTTTGGCGTAGGCTATAAATTGAAAGCAGACTCAGTAAGACTAATTAGGCTTTAGATCCGAGTCAGAAAGAGATCTTGGAGTGAGTCAGTCGATCCCCACTAAGAAATCGATTTTAAAAGTTTTCTTTGGATCCATGATTACTGTTATCATAGTACCTTTCAGACCAGATTAAGGAGACAGAAACAATAAACGGTGTCCTAATCAGATATCAGAATTTTGTGTTGTTTCATTCAAAAATGATTTGTTTAAAAGAACCGAATCTTTTAAGTGAACATACTGAACCGAATCACTTCCTCATGATCACTTCCCCCAGGCCAGCAGTTGGCAAACAAGGGACCACATGCACCAACGCCTGAATCACTTGGTGAACGAATCACGCATTCAACTACACTCTCTGGAATCATTTTTGTCTGACAAAACTACCTTTTTTTTCACTGCTAAATTGCCCCCACAATAAATTGCGTACAATAGAACACAGCATGTAACAAGTACTGCATAGGACCCACAGCATCCTATCATTGCAGCAGTTTGCGAGGGAACAGTGCATGTTCAGTGTAAATTCTTCTAAACGTTTCTTGAATGAGTCACTCACTGAGCCCAGTTTACTGAGCAGACCTGCTAAATAGCATACCAAAGGACAGTACACTTAAAACATCATACCCATGGACTGTATATACTGTCCATGGGTGAGTTTTTTTTTTTTCTTTAGTTTACTCTTTTTTTTTTACAGTTTTTTATTTGGGAGAAAAACTTAGGATTTTTTTTAAAGGTTTTTTTCCTCAGTTTTTTTTCCTTTTTTTTTGCCTGACTGATAATAATAATAATAATAATAATAATAATAATAATAATAATAATAAACAACAGGCAGAAAACTGAAAGAGAAAAACACACAAAAAAAATAAAGGAAAAAAAAGTATTTCTGAAAAAAAAAAAAAAACTACTGGAAAGAAAATTAAAAAACAACAAACAAAAGCACCCATAACCTGGTGTTTTTCACACAAAAAATTAAATAAACCTTGCGGTTTTCCTTCCCATGGGAGGGTTTTTATCCCCCTCCTCGAGCTACCACCTTACCGTGGTGGAGGGGTTTGTGTGTCCCAATGAGAGTTAATTCTGATTTACTCTTGCTGTTGTCAAAAAGTGCTAAAATTTCTCTGCATTTCGCATGTTAAGTAGGCCCATGTCAGTTTTAATCCTTGCAGGACTCTTGTTTTCACTTTTCATCAGCAGAGGAAAAGCTTTTGGATAACTGATTAATATAGAGTTCAGGGGAAAGTATATCTGCAATGTATAATCAATAATGACTTTATCTTCATGAGTAAATATGATTTGTACATTTAAAGAGAACTATTTTTTAATTTTGGTTCAACAATGGACAGAAGTAGACAGGCAAGATGGCGTCTGTAAAGTTCAGTTTAACAGCTGGTGTGTCATACTAAGTTTTCTTATTTAACCCATCAATACATATCAATTCATAAAGCATCTATTACAAAAACAGCTCAAATCAATGTGGGTTAACAGCAGGTTTGAAAAATACATGATTGTTATAGGGTGTGCTTTTTTTTTTACATTTAAATGTGAAAAATTCAAATGTAAACAAACAACAAGAGAATATGGCATCAAAGGAACAATTCCGTGATGACATCATTATGACATCATCACGGCTTTCATCTCGTGTTACTAACTGGAAGTAGAGCAGCTGTCCAGGGTATCGTTTGAACCTTTCAGCGAGTAGCTACACTTAAAGAAAGAGACAATCGAAATCTTTTGGTAGCGGAACTCTGAGACTACAAACAGTCAAAGACAATGCAGCGACCAACAAACCGACCCAGGATTAACAGGCCCTTCTACTTGAGGGACAGAGAGATGGAGACACTCCGCAGGACTGTGGCTCAGCTCACTGGACAGCTGGAGAGTGAGAAGAACCGAACACTCTTGCTCAGCCAGGAGTTGGAGGTGACTCAACAGAGGCTCACTGGACAGCTGGAGAGAGAGAAGAACCGAACACTCTTGCTCAGCCAGGAGTTGGAGGTGATTCATCAGAAGCTGACCAGGCAAAGGGCTCTCAAGGAAGTGTACATTAACAAAGGGAAGGAGCTCAAAAAGGAGCTGCAGATGCTTCAAAAGTACAGCTCAGAGGAGACCCTCTCCAAACACAGAATTGCTCTTAAGGTGAGGGACACGAGCCGGCAGAAGAAGAAGAAGGATCTTCATGTCGATTACGAGGAGCTGAAGGTGGCACATATTGTGGAAAATGAGAGGCTCACAACACAAGTCCAGGAACTGACTGAAAGAAACACGGTCCTCCATGAAGAACAGGAGAAGACAAGAACCTCATACCAAGCACTGAAATTCCAGTATGCAACTGATCTCACTGCTGCGAAACAGGAAGTTGAGACCCTTCAGCGTGAGCTGCAAAATCAGGCTCACCATGATGGACTCTTACAGGAACAGACCATCCAGATCCTGAGAGCCGAACAGGACTCCATGACGGAGAAGATTGCTGTTCTGCAGCAGGCAGCTTTTGAAACAGAGAGGAGGCACTGGGCTGAGCTGGAGGAGCTGAAACAACAGCTCTACATCCAGACAGCCGGTATGATGGACAACAAGGAGCTTAAAGTGGCCCAAGAAACCAGCTTTAACAATGAAAAAAACAAAAAAACAAATGAACTCTCAACTGAGCTTCAACTTCGAGAGACAGGCATCAGGCAAAGTGAGATGACGCTTCAGGAGCAGGACTTCATGGACATGGACATCGAGCAGTTTTGCATGGAGTTGGAGAAAACTGCAGAAACTTCTGGAGCTGAAGAACTGGCAGGAGCTTTAGAAATCGAAGTGACTGCTGGATCTCCAGAACTAGTTGGAACAGCAGGACCAGCAGAGACACCAACCTCTAATGCCACCAAACCACCTTCTTCAGTCTGGAAACAAACAAGACACTTCTTGGGGTTAAGAAAGCCTGAGAAGTGGAAGAAGAAGTAACTTCCTCGAAGTAAGGAAGTACTTTAAAAAAAAAAAAAACTCTTCAAAAAGAGATCTCAAAAAAAAATAAAGAAAGAAAGAAAACCAAAAAAAAAAAAATCAATCAATCAATCAACTTTATTTCTATAGCACATTTAAAAGAACCACAAGGGTAGCCAAATTGCTGTACAGTGACACATAAAAACAAATAAAACAATCAAAGAACAAGATAAAGCAAGCAGAAATACAGTAATGCAAAAGAATAAATAAGTGTATAAATAAGGAGGCTCACGGCAAGTGCTAAGATGATAAAAAACAAATTAACACTACAATGTACTAAAAGCCAATGAGTAAAAGTACGTTTTTAAAAGGGATTTAAAAACAGAAAATGAGGAGGCCTGTCTAATTTTCAAGGGCAACTCATTCCAGAGCTTAGGGGCAGCAGCGGCAAATGCTCTGTCCCCTCTGAGCTTCAGCCTTGTACTGGGGACGGTCAGTAAAAGCTGATCAGCTGATCTTAGGGGTCGGGGTGGGCAATAAGGCTGTAGCATCTCCGAAATATAGGGTGGAGCAAGGTTGTTCAGGCCCTTAAAAACAAATGCTAAAAGCTTAAAATGAATTCTGTACTGAACAGGGAGCCAGTGTAAGGACGCCAGGATGGGGGTGATGTGCTCACGCCTGCGGGTCTGTGTCAGGAGACGTGCAGCAGAGTTCTGCATAAGCTGCAGGCGGGCAAGGGAAGCCTGGCTAATCCCTACGTACAAGGAGTTGCAGTAATCAAGACGGGTAGTGATAAAAGCATGGATTAATTTTTCCAGGTCAGGTCTTGATAAAATGGGCTTCACCTTCGCTATTTGGCGTAGCTGATAAAAACTTTTTTGTACCACCCCGCTGATCTGCTTGTCAAATTTAAAATCAGGGTCAAATTTAACTCCCAGATTAGTGACGACCTCTTTAAGGTAGGGTGAGAGGGAGCCTAGGTCAAAAACCCTTAAAACAGGCAGAAAAAAGAGAAAACTAAAAAAAAGAAAAAGAAGAGTATTTCTGAAAACAAAAAAAAACAACAACAAAAAAACACCCTAAGAAAACTAAAAAACAAAAAAGAAATATTTCTGATTCTTGGGGTTAAGAAAGCCTGAGAAGTGGAAGAAGTAACTTCCCCGAAGTAAGGAAGTACTTAAAAAAAAAAAAACTCTTCAAAAAGAAATCTCCAAAAACAAAAATAAATTAAGACAACTGATGAAAAAACAAAAAAGAAAACAAAAAACATCAACATGGGAAAAAAAAAAAAAAACTACTGGAAAGAAAATTAAAAAACAACAAACAAAAGCACCCATAACCCGGTGTTTTTCACACAAAAAATAAAATAAACCTTGCGGTTTTCCGTCCCATGGGAGGGTTTTTATCCCCCTCCTCGAGCTACCACCTTACCGTGGTGGAGGGGTTTGTGTGTCCCAATGAGAGTTAATTCTGATTTACTCTTGCTGTTGTCAAAAAGTGCTAAAATTTCTCTGCATTTCGCATGTTAAGTAGGCCCATGTCAGTTTTAATCCTTGCAGGACTCTTGTTTTCACTTTTCATCAGCAGAGGAAAAGCTTTTGGATAACTGATTAATATAGAGTTCAGGGGAAAGTATATCTGCAATGTATAATCAATAATGACTTTATCTTCATGAGTAAATATGATTTGTACATTTAAAGAGAACTATTTTTTAATTTTGGTTCAACGATGGACAGAAGTACACAGGCAAGATGGCGTCTGTAAAGTTCAGTTTAACAGCTGGTGTGTCATACTAAGTTTTCTTATTTAACCCATCAATACATATCAATTCATAAAGCATCTATTACAAAAACAGCTCAAATCAATGTGGGTTAACAGCAGGTTTGAAAAATACATGATTGTTATAGGGTGTGCTTTTTTTTTTACATTTAAATGTGAAAAATTCAAATGTAAACAAACAACAAGAGAATATGGCATCAAAGGAACAATTCCGTGATGACATCATTATGACATCATCATGGCTTTCATCTCGTGTTACTAACTGGAAGTAGAGCAGCTGTCCAGGGTATCGTTTGAACCTTTCAGCGAGTAGCTACACTTAATGTAAAGATTATTAAATTTAGACACAACCAAGGCTATTTCTGCTGCTGTTCAGGTGCCTCTACTATACTAATAATCATTAGTATTAAATTATTTAAAATTATTTAAAAATACGACTCTGCAGTGGCTGTCATGGCAACTGAATCAACTGTTTAGTTTTAAAAAACTGAAGTTGGATATTTCAAAGTGAAACATAGACCTACTGGTAAAAACGTGGAAGAAAGCGAAAAGCAAAGATGGAAAACATGTCCGAGGAAACCCACGGCGAAATGACGGATCCACAGCACATCCACCTAAGGTAAGGAGAAAAAAAACGGTTCAAGGGGTCCCTGTGTGAAGGTGTTTCTATAAAACCGCGCCTCAACCTTTTTCTTTCTGCTCCTTTTCATTCACATGAAAATTTTTCCTTGTTTGTATTGAATGTGTCATATACTAACAGACTGAAATAAAGTATGTACACAGCGCCCTAACTTTATTGAAATGAAGTCATGTGTTTGGAGGTTAAGGCTCTGTTTGTGTAGATACCAACAGTTTGGGTCGGGTCAGAACTGCTGACATTCATACAGCTCATTCAGACGACTCAGAGAATGAGAGTATTTGGAATTTTCCAATATTTATCATGTCTCAGATTTGTGCACATCAGTTTGTGAATGACAGATATTGTATAGAAAGACTTAGCTTTCAGACCCTTTACAACAAGATCTTCAGTGCTTCTCATCTTTTTCTTTTAGCTTCCCATCTGAAAGCTCTGTGGAGGAAATGGCTCAAGACAGACCAGATCAAGATGAGACAGAGAAAACGGAGATTGATAACAGCATCATACAGAGACTTCAAGACAGACCAGATCAAGATGAGACAGAGAAAAAGGAGATTGATAACCGCATCATACAGAGACTTCAATCTGGCTGGATAGGCACTCTTCATGTCGTTTTCCTGGTGCTGCTTTTAGTCCTAATCACTGTCATTGTTGGCCTGAGCATCAATGTTAAGCAGTTACAGAAAGAAAGGAGTCAGCTGAGACAGCTTTTAGAATCAACACACATGGGACTGAACCACACCATGGAAGTAAATCAAAAAGTGAGCCAGAGTCTGAACTTCACCGTGGAAGAAAATCAAAAACTGAGGCTGAGTCTGAACTACACCATGGAAGAGAATCTGAACCTGAGCCTGAGTCTGAACAACACCATGGAAGAAAATCAGAAATTGAGCAGAAGACTAAACTACACCATGGAAGAAAATCAAAAACTGAGCCTGAGTCTGAACTACACCATGGAAGAGAATCTGAACCTGAGCCTGAGTCTGAACAACACCATGGAAGAAAATCAGAAATTGAGCAGAAGACTAAACTACACCATGGAAGAGAATCTGAATCTGAGCCAAAGATTAAACCACACCAAGGAAGAAAATCAAAAACTGAGGCTGAGTCTGAACTACACCATGGAAGAGAATCTGAACCTGAGCCTGAGTCTGAACAGCACCAAGGAAGAAAATCAAAAACTGAGCCTGAGTCTGAGCTACTCCATGGAAGAAAATCAGAGACTGAGCCGAAGACTAAACCACACCATGGCAGAAAAGTCACAGCTTCAAGTGCAGATTGAGGAGATGAAAATCATATTGAATTCTACTATGGAAAACCGTGACTCTTTCAGAAAAGACAAAATCAAATATCAACAGCTTTTGATCAATGAAAGGCAGACCTCAACTCAACTAAAAGCTGAAAATCAACGTCAACAATCAATTCTGATGTCGGAGAAACTATCTTTCCTCTGGAGATTCTGTGATAAAGGCACCCTGCAATGTTCACGCTGCCTTCCTGGTTGGGCTGAGCACGCCACACGCTGCTTCCATTTGGCATCACAACCAATGAAGTGGGAAGATGCTCGTAGGGAGTGTTTTAATGAAGGTGCTGACCTGGCTGTTGTCTTGAATGCTGCAGACCAGGCATTTCTGACCAACATGACTTTCCAGTTTACACAGCAGCATCCAAATGTACTGTTCCATTCAGCATGGATCGGGTTGCAGGACATGGTGCAGGATAACAGATTTGTGTGGGTAAATGGTATCAAGTCCAAGTCAGATTTGAAGTTCTGGATGCCTGGAGAGCCAAACAATGCTGCGGCTCAATGGGACAAAGACCGTGCAGGACAGGACTGTGTTGTCATTGTCCCTCCAAAGACTGTTGGACAGAAAGGCTGGCTGAACTCCTGGGATGATATTGTCTGTCGAGGCCAGCGGCACTACATTTGTGAAACCAAAGCTCTTATTTTGTCTGGAGTGAAAACTGAGGAATGATGAGTTTATAACAATTTAGAATAAGTATGAATTAATGTGAAATAAATGTTCTTTATTTTGATAATGATATGGTATTATTATTTGGATTTTAATGTGGCCTATATAATAGACTGTTTTTTGTTCTTTTTTTAGTCAGATCTATCTATCTATCTATCTATCTATCTATCTATCTATCTATCTATCACAGAATGGAGATGACATGGATTAAGGTGAAGTCAGTTGCAAGTTCAACATTTGTTAAAAAAAAAAAAAGAACAATATGACTGGAATGAGCGTTTAATCAAATAAATGTGAACAGAAACATTTTTAGGGCAGAAAAACATTATCACGAGACTTTTGGATTTCTGTCCTGCAGTTATGGAAGAATATGAGGTAACACCGGGAAATAAACCTCTGTTCATCCCATGGTGGAGAAATTTATATTAATTTATATAATAAGGCATTGTTATGGATTTAAGACAGCTATTTTTGTCAGAATTGATATTGAATGGTAGCAGAGTACAGGAACAATAGAAACCTTGTCATATTGAAAAGTGTTTGCAGTTATTTGGGACAGGTAAAAATGTGTGATCTTTCAAAACACAAACTCATTTTTTAGCGAAGAGAGGGTCATACTTTTTGCTCTTTTGAAAAGGACTGAATCCAATTTGAACTCCTTAGCTGGCAGGCTGACACTACTCTGGCCTTCCAAGGGAGGGCAGCATCTCCCCTTCAGCTGTTTCATCACAGCTGTAGTTATTCACATTTCCACCATTTGACTTTCAGTTTCGCTCAACATAACGTTTTCAGCAAAAATAAAAAATAAAAAAAGAGGGCATATATTCTTACTCTACACTCATAGATAGTATATATATATATATATAGGCCTACAGTCTATGGCAGTGGTTCTCAACTGGTCTCACTCTGGGACCCACACTTTTTTATGGTCCTTATGTGGCAACCCACTTTTATAAAATTCAAACCAGGCAAATTTATTTTTTATAAAAAACGAACCTTTACAGACTCAAATCTTTGACATAAATACTCCTATTTTGTTGAATAAAGTGCATTTCAGAGCACATGAACTGAGGGCGACAACTACTTAAGTTTCGTATACAGAAAATATCAAATATCAAATTGCACACAATGGAGACAAGCAAAATGAAACATTTGACTTATTTGCATCTCTGCGTTCAGAGCATATTCAGAAGAACACGAGGAGGACCGAGCAACAGCATTGACAAAAGTGAATAAATATCAAATTGCACAAAATAAAGACCATGAAAAACATGTAATTTTACTGCATTCAGGCCACATTAATAAGAAACCGAGGAGGACCATGACATGATGCGTGCCTTTCAAAATAAGCTATTTTTCAAAATAAAAAAACATGTCAAACATCAGATGCGTATTAAATATTTACTTTTTTGATCAGCTGTTCACGACCCATCCAGAACGTGTCTGGGACCCACTTTTGGGTCGGGACCCACCAGTTGAGAACCACTGTTCTATGGTTACGCCACACAATCTCATTCAGTTTACAGTACATGCTGAAGTCCCGCCCATACCGGAACAGGATTGGTCCCCTCTGCTGTTGGCGCTTCCCATCAGCTTCTATGATTGGATATATTCATTTTGGACGGCGGCTGTTACGTCATTATTTCCAACCGTGTAAGGTGTTAAATTTCAAATCTACTCATTGTGGCTGGAGCATGGTGCTGGTGCAGGTAATGCTCTGTCATTTCACTGAAAAATGCGAGATTGTTATCCTAAATAAACACGAACCAACCAAAGAAAAGGAAAGAACCACCACACGAAGCATTGCGACTTAATCATCAGGCAGGTTGAATTTTACACCCCTCTCACCCCCTAAATAAGAGACCATATTCATCTGCTGTTTCGTCTCCTTTAATCGCTTTTCATCAGGATGTCGGTACTCTCGTTAGTGCTACTGCTGCTATACCAACATACAGCAACTGTCTCAAATGGTTTGTTTTGATTTTCCTTTCTGTTCAGAACTTCGCCTATTTATTTGTATAACTTTTATTTTTTGCTGTGTTTTGTTTGCACCTGATAGGAATGCCTCCCATTTCATTGTACATTTACAATAACAATATCAAGATATTCTACCCTAGTGTATTCTATTTGACCTGGCACTAGACCTCTTATTTTGTCGACTTTCAGTTTCCGTTCCCCACTCCATTACCCACGCAGAAAGTGTTTCCTCTGCCCGACCTTTCTCCTACAGGTGGCGATCACTTCAAGCTGATCATCCAGACTTTTTAAATTAATATTTCTTTTCCCCCTTTCTTTCTTGCTACTGAAAACTCCAATAAATCTGACAATTACTCTGAGGAGAGGATCTGGGTTTCAGGGTGGAGAATACACCGGTTGCAGGACAGTGCGCGAGACGGTGAAGCATGGGCTGGAAATGTCAAATTTATTGCGGTTTACAAAAGCTCTACAACATCCGGTTTAGCTGTCAAAATAAACCTAGGATAATAAAGGTTTGGGGGGGGGGGGAACGCAAATATCATTTCCAGAGTACCATGTGGTCATAGGTTTACACAGGTTCAAGTATATATCTTGAACTTTTTTAAAGATAAGTCTATCTATCTATCTATCTATCTATCTATCTATCTATCTATCTATCTATCTATCTATCTATCTCTTAAACTTTTCTAAAGATCCATATTCATGTCCTGTGCACAGCATTATCAGTCCTTGTAGCTTGCAGGTGATGGTAGGAGCCACAGAGGGGACTGAATACCTCCTTTTTTCAACCCTGGTACCATCCTTTAAGCCTTTTAACAACAACAATAATAGTAATAATAATAATAATAATAATAATAAACTTTATTTGTATGGCACTTTTCTTGAACAGTTGTCACAAAGTGCTTTATAGTCATCAAAATAAAAAGGGTCAGACAACAAGACATAAACCTTAACAAAAAGTACACTTGCAGCCAAAGTCCCGGGGCCTATTCTACGAAGCAGGATTACTGCTTAGCAAGGTAACTTCGAGGGTAAGTTCGGGGTTTCCTGTTCTACGACACGGGTTCACTTCTTAGCGAGGTGAGTCTCCATGGCAACGTACGCTGAACGGCTAACCTGCTCTGGGGCAGGTTAGGTTCCAGATTGAACTCACCGAGTATAAAAACCCCACCCACTGACCAATGAGCTCTCTCAAAAAATGGCTTGTCTGTTCTTGGAGGATCCTATAGACCTTGGTGCTGGCATTGTTCGAGGAGCACTCCGGCGCGCGAGAGTTTTCAGGGACTGCATGGACCCACTTACTTTTCTGGATGACCACCTTTATGAAAGGCTCAAAAAATGTAAACATGATAGGAATGAACAAATGAATGAATTCATCTTGGAAATAAATTAGACATGTCTGGTGCATGTTAAAAGCGCATGTTGAACAGTGCTATTTCAGGGTTATAATGGCATCAAAGATTTTTTGCGCATTATATTTACGCATTGAGACTGTCTGCAATTTTCTGCGGTCTTTCGCTCTCTGGCCGGCTCTGACGCTCCAGACTGGTCCATGTTCGCGATCGGTCCGATGCGACGGGCTCTGCCTTACCTGCGTGCACGCGCTCATAGCAAAGCTGGATCCACTTACGAGGTTGATAACCAGTGTCGTAAGACCGTTTAGCGAGACCGCTGGCTACCGCGTTAAGTTCAGCGAGGTAGCTCCAAGGCTACCTCGCTAGGTCAAACTTGCTTCGTAGAACAGGCCCCTGGTCATACCAAAGCGATTGTAAACAAATGGGTTTTCAACAGCTTTTTGAAAATATACACAGTGTCCACAAGTTCCCTTTTAGAGCTAAAACTAATCTACAAAAGCTTTTTATAGGCCCTAAAGAGGAATAATGTACTACCTTCCCAAAAATTTACTTTGGAATATGATGCAGAGAAAATATACTTCTTGGATTGACCTACTTCCCATTCCTTCCTCTCTTGATGTTGTAAGTGGACTGGTTGTTATTCTTATACATAATATACTCTTACCGTGAGGCTTTGTGTATCATTACTGAACAAATGCACATTGTATCCTCCTTATTGAATGATTATTGATTTAATCTAAGTTTTTTTTTTTTTTTTCCTTTGCTTACAAGTGATTTAACGAGAAGGCCAAAGCTGTCTCTCTTCCTCCTCAGCAACCACCTTCCTCTTCATTAAAGGGTCTATAGGTCTCTTTGGTGGTATTTTTGTAAAGATGCTGTTATTTCAAACTAGCATGCTTTGTATCCAATGTTTTATTCTGTGTTGTTCTAGATGAAATGAGGATTCGCAGTAAATGGACACGAAGAGAGCTCCACAGGCTACTGTCTGCTGCTGACTGGATTTAGTGCCGCTGCATTTAAAAGCATCTGTGCAGTGGATCGTGTAGCATCCTGATGAAGTTATTCAGCTCTTCTGTTGAATCACCTCCTTTTCTGTCGTGAATTCACATGAAATGTCTTCCATATGGATTTCATTTTCAGTACAGGACTTTCTTGCACAGACCAGCCCACTTTAGTCCACAACCTTTTAGAATGTTATGGTATATAAATCTGAAACAGAGCACTATATTTCCACAATTTTGTTTTGTTTTAGTGTAATTTATCAAAAATCACATTCACACGACAATTACGGGTACAAGTTTACAGCTATCATTTTACAAATGTAAGAACATCACACATTTGTCTTACTAAAAAAATGTGAAAACCCATGACAAGTCATTATTGGGAAAATGTAAATGAAGACTTAGAGATCCTTGGTCATACACATAGACTGTATATATTATGGACAACTTGGTTCCGCCTCCCGCCAGTATACGGATTTGAAGCCAAAAAGCTCTCGGTAATTCCACATTTTTTCTCCACTTCCTGAAACCAACATTGCACAGTAGTGTTGTACGCACTCCACCACTTGCGCAGTAGTGTTGTACGCATTCGGCGGGAGAGTCACCGAGAGTGGCTGTGATGACGCTCGGCTCAAACAGCGTATCCCCACAGGTGTATCTTCGTACACCCATAGGCTGTATCAAGTGACAATCATAGAAAACATGAACCCCCTAATAACGTCTAAAAATGGAGCTGCACAGAAAAAGTACAGTAACTACATCACAACCAGGGGGGAGAAATATTTGTGTTCTGTGGAATAAATTTCTAAAGTTTGTCCACAGCTTCATATGGATTGCTGGAGGAGGCGGGATTTATGACCTATACTGCAGCCCGTCACCAGAGGGTGCTGTTTTCGGAACGGCTTCACCCAGCGAGGAGGCAGATGCTGTCCATTCTTTATACAGTCTATGGTCATACATTATGTCATTCAAACTCTCTTGTTTTGTTTTATTTATTCAAGTATCACGAGGTCAGACCATTTTTACTGTACAGTGCTGTATCATTAAATTATCTGACATATTTCATACAGCTTACTGTAGCTTCTCTTTCTCACATCCAGACTAACCCCTCTGGACTTCTGTGCTGAGTTGTGGCGCTCTCTCACACTGTAAAAGTCAACAGCTTTTATTTTGAAGAGCCTCTTTCCGGTTCTTGTGTCGCTGGCTCCGCCTTTGGTTGGCTTTATAAAGCAGCGATGTCTCACGGCAGATCAGCGGCCAGCCCTGAAAGTCGGAGCGGCGAGAAAAGTACGCAGTGCTCTTTGTTACTGTAAAACTGGTTCCACCTCCGCGACGTCGTTAACATGAGAAAGAAACTTCTTCACTGACCGCCGGGAAGTGAAATTTCGGCGAAGGGTCAGTTGTGCCGTTCCCTTCCTGGAACTTCAGCCAGTCCAGCAGCCGTTCAGCTCCGACCACACCCTCCCTGCTTCCTCATACTGCAGCGGGAGCGCGCAGCACGACTTTGAATCCCCGGGAATAACGGCCCTTTCCTCGGCTACCTTTTGGGATTTCATGTTCGGGGAACTAGACGAAACATGTGAGTTGACTGTCCAAAGACTTTTGAGCGGTTATGGCGCTGAAAAGCAAGTGTCAGCAGGGGCTATGCGGGGCTTCACATTCTCTGGTCCCGTGTCAAGACGCCTAGAGGAAGAGGAGGAGGAGGAGGAGGGCGGACAGAAGGACGATGCATATGGAGTCCAAGCGACTGCAGCATTCGCTAGCTTCTAACCCGGGGCTGTGTTTGAAAAAGAAGAGGTTAAAAGTGGATGGAGGAGTTTGTGCTGTTGGAAAGTCGGGCTCCCGGTCTTTAACTCTGGGGGACTCATGAAACGATGGTGCTGAAGGGAAACACGAGTCTTCCCGCTGTCCAGGAGAACTGCCCGGGTGGTGCCCCGTTTGTACCCAGCATGAGAATACCAGGCCGGTCAAAGTCATTGGAAGCAAGTCGGACAAGACGTCGGTGCTTTTTCAGGCTGCTTACCCTGTCAAGAGTGGACCTAAAATGACATCCTATTTATTAATGTAAAGAAAAAAAAAGAGCGAAGAATCGATCAAGCTAATGTTGAGGGATGTTTTTCTCTGCTAAAAAAGACCCAAAGAAAAGACATCTAGTGTTAAATAGCAGGAAAGGATCAGCAGATGTCATAAATCAGGAATGTGATCTCCTTTATGAAAAGAAATGCAGCTTTTGACTTTGAACAGCTCTCAGTCTGCACTTTGCCTGTTTGGAGGCACCCTGGCACTGCATTTGGTGTGATTTCTTCTTAAAGTTCACAGCCTGTGAAGTTTTTTTCTGTTTGACCAAAACTGGGACTGGGATTAGATTAACCACATCTGTATTTTGCTGGCATTTATGTTCATCTAAAGAGATAAGAGCATTTTATACTGATAATTTTAAGGCAATCCACCAGAAATATGCCTGACAGAAGTTCAGTCTCTTATTGTAAGAAAATATTCTGGATGTTATTGACTCAAAGTAATGCAGTTAGCGAGTTTGACTCTTTCTACGTGTTTACATGAAGAGTATATATATTCTGTGTGTACAGCTGATGACCCATACTCTGAAGGAATTTAAGGAAGACTGTTTGGCCAGTTGACTTTCTCAAAGTTTGTGAAAAGCAGTTCAGGCTTAGCTTGGAAACAGTACCATGTAATGTGCAGCACCCTAAAAAGCATAAATAAGTGAACTGAGTAACCCTCCCACCCTCACCCACCCCCTCCTTATTATGGCTAGTGGTGGCTCTGGCATGGCTCTGCCCCTAAGCTCATTCCAGAGCTTAGGGGCAGCAGCGGCAAATGCTCTGTCCCCTCTGAGCTTCAGCCTTGTACTGGGGACGGTCAGTAAAAGCTGATCAGCTGATCTTAGGGGTCGGGGTGGGCAATAAGGCTGTAGCATCTCCGAAATATAGGGTGGAGCAAGGTTGTTCAGGCCCTTAAAAACAAATGCTAAAAGCTTAAAATGAATTCTGTACTGAACAGGGAGCCAGTGTAAGGACGCCAGGATGGGGGTGATGTGCTCACGCCTGCGGGTCTGTGTCAGGAGACGTGCAGCAGAGTTCTGCATAAGCTGCAGGCAGGCAAGGGAAGCCTGGCTAATCCCTACGTACAAGGAGTTGCAGTAATCAAGACGGGTAGTGATAAAAGCATGGATTAATTTTTCCAGGTCAGGTCTTGATAAAATGGGCTTCACCTTCGCTATTTGGCGTAGCTGATAAAAACTTTTTTGTACCACCCCGCTGATCTGCTTGTCAAATTTAAAATCAGGGTCAAATTTAACTCCCAGATTAGTGACGACCTCTTTAAGGTAGGGTGAGAGGGAGCCTAGGTCGAAAACCCTTAAAACAGGCAGAAAAAAGAGAAAACTAAAAAAAAGAAAAAGAAGAGTATTTCTGAAAACAAAAAAAAAAAACAACAACAAAAAAACACCCTAAGAAAACTAAAAAACAAAAAAGAAATATTTCTGATTCTTGGGGTTAAGAAAGCCTGAGAAGTGGAAGAAGTAACTTCCCCGAAGTAAGGAAGTACTTAAAAAAAAAAAAAAACTCTTCAAAAAGAAATCTCCAAAAACAAAAATAAATTAAGACAACTGATGAAAAAACAAAAAAGAAAAAAAAACATCAACATGGGAAAAAAAAAAAAATTCTAAAAAAAAAAACAAAAAAAACTACTGGAAAGAAAATTAAAAAACAACAAACAAAAGCACCCATAACCCGGTGTTTTTCACACAAAAGATAAAATAAACCTTGCGGTTTTCCGTCCCATGGGAGGGTTTTTATCCCCCTCCTCGAGCTACCACCTTACCGTGGTGGAGGGGTTTGTGTGTCCCAATGAGAGTTAATTCTGATTTACTCTTGCTGTTGTCAAAAAGTGCTAAAATTTCTCTGAATTTCGCATGTTAAGTAGGCCCATGTCAGTTTTAATCCTTGCAGGACTCTTGTTTTCACTTTTCATCAGCAGAGGACAAGCTTTTGGATAACTGATTAATATAGAGTTCAGGGGAAAGTATATCTGCAATGTATAATCAATAATGACTTTATCTTCATGAGTAAATATGATTTGTACATTTAAAGAGAACTATTTTTTAATTTTGGTTCAACAATGGACAGAAGTACACAGGCAAGATGGCGTCTGTAAAGTTCAGTTTAACAGCTGGTGTGTCATACTAAGTTTTCTTATTTAACCCATCAATACATATCAATTCATAAAGCATCTATTACAAAAACAGCTCAAATCAATGTGGGTTAACAGCAGGTTTGAAAAATACATGATTGTTATAGGGTGTGCTTTTTTTTTTACATTTAAATGTGAAAAATTCAAATGTAAACAAACAACAAGAGAATATTGCATCAAAGGAACAATTCCGTGATGACATCATTATGACATCATCATGGCTTTCATCTCGTGTTACTAACTGGAAGTAGAGCAGCTGTCCAGGGTATCGTTTGAACCTTTCAGCGAGTAGCTACACTTAAAGAAAGAGACAATCGAAATCTTTTAGCAGCGGAACTCTGAGACTACAAACAGTCAAAGACAATGCAGCGACCAACAAACCGACCCAGGATTAACAGGCCCTTCTACTTGAGGGACAGAGAGATGGAGACACTCCGCAGGACTGTGGCTCAGCTCACTGGACAGCTGGAGAGTGAGAAGAACCGAACACTCTTGCTCAGCCAGGAGTTGGAGGTGACTCAACAGAGGCTCACTGGACAGCTGGAGAGAGAGAAGAACCGAACACTCTTGCTCAGCCAGGAGTTGGAGGTGATTCATCAGAAGCTGACCAGGCAAAGGGCTCTCAAGGAAGTGTACATTAACAAAGGGAAGGAGCTCAAAAAGGAGCTGCAGATGCTTCAAAAGTACAGCTCAGAGGAGACCCTCTCCAAACACAGAATTGCTCTTAAGGTGAGGGACACGAGCCGGCAGAAGAAGAAGAAGGATCTTCATGTCGATTACGAGGAGCTGAAGGTGGCACATATTGTGGAAAATGAGAGGCTCACAACACAAGTCCAGGAACTGACTGAAAGAAACACGGTCCTCCATGAAGAACAGGAGAAGACAAGAACCTCATACCAAGCACTGAAATTCCAGTATGCAACTGATCTCACTGCTGCGAAACAGGAAGTTGAGACCCTTCAGCGTGAGCTGCAAAATCAGGCTCACCATGATGGACTCTTACAGGAACAGACCATCCAGATCCTGAGAGCCGAACAGGACTCCATGACGGAGAAGATTGCTGTTCTGCAGCAGGCAGCTTTTGAAACAGAGAGGAGGCACTGGGCTGAGCTGGAGGAGCTGAAACAACAGCTCTACATCCAGACAGCCGGTATGATGGACAACAAGGAGCTTAAAGTGGCCCAAGAAACCAGCTTTAACAATGAAAAAAACAAAAAAACAAATGAACTCTCAACTGAGCTTCAACTTCGAGAGACAGGCATCAGGCAAAGTGAGATGACGCTTCAGGAGCAGGACTTCATGGACATGGACATCGAGCAGTTTTGCATGGAGTTGGAGAAAACTGCAGAAACTTCTGGAGCTGAAGAACTGGCAGGAGCTTTAGAAATCGAAGTGACTGCTGGATCTCCAGAACTAGTTGGAACAGCAGGACCAGCAGAGACACCAACCTCTAATGCCACCAAACCACCTTCTTCAGTCTGGAAACAAACAAGACACTTCTTGGGGTTAAGAAAGCCTGAGAAGTGGAAGAAGAAGTAACTTCCTCGAAGTAAGGAAGTACTTTAAAAAAAAAAAACTCTTCAAAAAGAGATCTCAAAAAAAAATAAAGAAAGAAAAGAAAACCAAAAAAAAAAAAATCAATCAATCAATCAACTTTATTTCTATAGCACATTTAAAAGAACCACAAGGGTAGCCAAATTGCTGTACAGTGACACATAAAAACAAATAAAACAATCAAAGAACAAGATAAAGCAAGCAGAAATACAGTAATGCAAAAGAATAAATAAGTGTATAAATAAGGAGGCTCACGGCAAGTGCTAAGATGATAAAAAACAAATTAACACTACAATGTACTAAAAGCCAATGAGTAAAAGTACGTTTTTAAAAGGGATTTAAAAACAGAAAATGAGGAGGCCTGTCTAATTTTCAAGGGCAACTCATTCCAGAGCTTAGGGGCAGCAGCGGCAAATGCTCTGTCCCCTCTGAGCTTCAGCCTTGTACTGGGGACGGTCAGTAAAAGCTGATCAGCTGATCTTAGGGGTCGGGGTGGGCAATAAGGCTGTAGCATCTCCGAAATATAGGGTGGAGCAAGGTTGTTCAGGCCCTTAAAAACAAATGCTAAAAGCTTAAAATGAATTCTGTACTGAACAGGGAGCCAGTGTAAGGACGCCAGGATGGGGGTGATGTGCTCACGCCTGCGGGTCTGTGTCAGGAGACGTGCAGCAGAGTTCTGCATAAGCTGCAGGCGGGCAAGGGAAGCCTGGCTAATCCCTACGTACAAGGAGTTGCAGTAATCAAGACGGGTAGTGATAAAAGCATGGATTAATTTTTCCAGGTCAGGTCTTGATAAAATGGGCTTCACCTTCGCTATTTGGCGTAGCTGATAAAAACTTTTTTGTACCACCCCGCTGATCTGCTTGTCAAATTTAAAATCAGGGTCAAATTTAACTCCCAGATTAGTGACGACCTCTTTAAGGTAGGGTGAGAGGGAGCCTAGGTCGAAAACCCTTAAAACAGGCAGAAAAAAGAGAAAACTAAAAAAAGAAAAAGAAGAGTATTTCTGAAAAAAAAAAAAAACAACAACAAAAAAACACCCTAAGAAAACTAAAAAACAAAAAAGAAATGTTTCTGATTCTTGGGATTAAGAAAGCCTGAGAAGTGGAAGAAGTAAGTAAGGAAGTACTTAAAAAAAAAAAAACTCTTCAAAAAGAAATCTCCAAAAACAAAAATAAATTAAGACAACTGATGAAAAAACAAAAAGAAAAAAAAAAACATCAACATGGGAAAAAAAAAAAAAATTCTAAAAAAAAAAAAAAAAAAACTACTGGAAAGAAAATTAAAAAACAACAAACAAAAGCACCCATAACCCGGTGTTTTTCACACAAAAGATAAAATAAACCTTGCGGTTTTCCGTCCCATGGGAGGGTTTTTATCCCCCTCCTCGAGCTACCACCTTACCGTGGTGGAGGGGTTTGTGTGTCCCAATGAGAGTTAATTCTGATTTACTCTTGCTGTTGTCAAAAAGTGCTAAAATTTCTCTGAATTTCGCATGTTAAGTAGGCCCATGTCAGTTTTAATCCTTGCAGGACTCTTGTTTTCACTTTTCATCAGCAGAGGAAAAGCTTTTGGATAACTGATTAATATAGAGTTCAGGGGAAAGTATATCTGCAATGTATAATCAATAATGACTTTATCTTCATGAGTAAATATGATTTGTACATTTAAAGAGAACTATTTTTTAATTTTGGTTCAACAATGGACAGAAGTACACAGGCAAGATGGCGTCTGTAAAGTTCAGTTTAACAGCTGGTGTGTCATACTAAGTTTTCTTATTTAACCCATCAATACATATCAATTCATAAAGCATCTATTACAAAAACAGCTCAAATCAATGTGGGTTAACAGCAGGTTTGAAAAATACATGATTGTTATAGGGTGTGCTTTTTTTTTTACATTTAAATGTGAAAAATTCAAATGTAAACAAACAACAAGAGAATATGGCATCAAAGGAACAATTCCGTGATGACATCATTATGACATCATCATGGCTTTCATCTCGTGTTACTAACTGGAAGTAGAGCAGCTGTCCAGGGTATCGTTTGAACCTTTCAGCGAGTAGCTACACTTAATGTAAAGATTTATACACAACCAAGGCTATTTCTGCTGCTGTTCAGGTGCCTCTACTATACTAATAATCATTAGTATTAAATTATTTAAAATTATTTAAAAATACGACTCTGCAGTGGCTGTCATGGCAACTGAATCAACTGTTTAGTTTTAAAAAACTGAAGTTGGATATTTCAAAGTGAAACATAGACCTACTGGTAAAAACGTGGAAGAAAGCGAAAAGCAAAGATGGAAAACATGTCAGAGGAAACCCACGGCGAAATGACGGATCCACAGCACGTCCACCTAAGGTAAGGAGAAAAAAACGGTTCAAGGGGTCCCTGTGTGAAGGTGTTTCTATAAAACCGCGCCTCAACCTTTTTCTTTCTGCTCCTTTTCATTCACATGAAAATTTTTCCTTGTTTGTATTGAATGTGTCATATACTAACAGACTGAAATAAAGTATGTACACAGCGCCCTAACTTTATTGAAATGAAGTCATGTGTTTGGAGGTTAAGGCTCTGTTTGTGTAGATACCAACAGTTTGGGTCGGGTCAGAACTGCTGACATTCATACAGCTCATTCAGACGACTCAGAGAATGAGAGTATTTGGAATTTTCCAATATTTATCATGTCTCAGATTTGTGCACATCAGTTTGTGAATGACAGATATTGTACAGAAAGACTTAGCTTTCAGACCCTTTACAACAAGATCTTCAGTGCTTCTCATCTTTTTCTTTTAGCTTCCCATCTGAAAGCTCTGTGGAGGAAATGGCTCAAGACAGACCAGATCAAGATGAGACAGAGAAAACGGAGATTGATAACAGCATCATACAGAGACTTCAAGACAGACCAGATCAAGATGAGACAGAGAAAAAGGAGATTGATAACCGAATCATACAGAGACTTCAATCTGGCTGGATAGGCACTCTTCATGTCGTTTTCCTGGTGCTGCTTTTAGTCCTAATCACTGTCATTGTTGGCCTGAGCATCAATGTTAAGCAGTTACAGAAAGAAAGGAGTCAGCTGAGACAGCTTCTAGAATCAACACACATGGGACTGAACCACACCATGGAAGTAAATCAAAAAGTGAGCCAGAGTCTGAACTTCACCGTGGAAGAAAATCAAAAACTGAGGCTGAGTCTGAACTACACCATGGAAGAGAATCTGAACCTGAGCCTGAGTCTGAACAACACCATGGAAGAAAATCAGAAATTGAGCAGAAGACTAAACTACACCATGGAAGATAATCAGAAATTGAGCCTGAGTCTGAACTACACCATGGAAGATAATCTGAAACTGAGCCGAAGACTCAACCACACCAAGGAAGAAAATCAAAAACTGAGCCTGAGTCTGAGCTACTCCATGGAAGAAAATCAGAGACTGAGCCGAAGACTAAACCACACCATGGAAGTAAATCAAAAAGTGAGCCAGAGTCTGAACTTCACCGTGGAAGAAAATCAAAAACTGAGGCTGAGTCTGAACTACACCATGGAGGAGAATCTGAACCTGAGCCAGAGTCTGAACAACACCATGGAAGAAAATCAGAAATTGAGCAGAAGACTAAACTACACTATGGAAGAAAATCAGAAATTGAGCCTGAGTCTGAACTACACCATGGAAGAGAATCTGAACCTGAGCCTGAGTCTGAACAACACCATGGAAGAAAATCAAAAACTGAGGCTGAGTCTGAACTACACCATGGAAGAGAATCTGAACCTGAGCCTGAGTCTGAACAACACCATGGAAGAAAATCAGGAATTGAGCAGAAGACTAAACTACACCATGGAAGATAATCAGAAATTGAGCCTGAGTCTGAACTACACCATGGAAGATAATCTGAAACTGAGCCGAAGACTCAACCACACCAAGGAAGAAAATCAAAAACTGAGCCTGAGTCTGAGCTACTCCATGGAAGAAAATCAGAGACTGAGCCGAAGACTAAACCACACCATGGAAGTAAATCAAAAAGTGAGCCAGAGTCTGAACTTCACCGTGGAAGAAAATCAAAAACTGAGGCTGAGTCTGAACTACACCATGGAGGAGAATCTGAACCTGAGCCTGAGTCTGAACAACACCATGGAAGAAAATCAGAAATTGAGCAGAAGACTAAACTACACCATGGAAGAGAATCTGAATCTGAGCCAAAGATTAAACCACACCAAGGAAGAAAATCAAAAACTGAGGCTGAGTCTGAACTACACCATGGAAGAGAATCTGAACCTGAGCCTGAGTCTGAACAGCACCAAGGAAGAAAATCAAAAACTGAGCCTGAGTCTGAGCTACTCCATGGAAGAAAATCAGAGACTGAGCCGAAGACTTAACCACACCATGGCAGAAAAGTCACAGCTTCAAGTGCAGATTGAGGAGATGAAAATCATATTGAATTCTACTATGGAAAACCGTGACTCTTTCAGAAAAGACAAAATCAAATATCAACAGCTTTTGATCAATGAAAGGCAGACCTCAACTCAACTAAAAGCTGAAAATCAACGTCAACAATCAATTCTGATGTCGGAGAAACTATCTTTCCTCTGGAGATTCTGTGATAAAGGCACCCTGCAATGTTCACGCTGCCTTCCTGGTTGGGCTGAGCACGCCACACGCTGCTTCCATTTGGCATCACAACCAATGAAGTGGGAAGATGCTCGTAGGGAGTGTTTTAATGAAGGTGCTGACCTGGCTGTTGTCTTGAATGCTGCAGACCAGGCATTTCTGACCAACATGACTTTCCAGTTTACACAGCAGCATCCAAATGTACTGTTCCATTCAGCATGGATCGGGTTGCAGGACATGGTGCAGGATAACAGATTTGTGTGGGTAAATGGTATCAAGTCCAAGTCAGATTTGAAGTTCTGGATGCCTGGAGAGCCAAACAATGCTGCGGCTCAATGGGACAAAGACCGTGCAGGACAGGACTGTGTTGTCATTGTCCCTCCAAAGACTGTTGGACAGAAAGGCTGGCTGAACTCCTGGGATGATGTTGTCTGTCGAGGCCAGCGGCACTACATTTGTGAAACCAAAGCTCTTATTTTGTCTGGAGTAAAAACTGAGGAATGATGAGTTTATAACAATTTAGAATAAGTATGAATTAATGTGAAATAAATGTTCTTTATTTTGATAATGATATGGTATTATTATTTGGATTTTAATGTGGTCTATATAATAGACTGTTTTTTGTTCTTTTTTTAGTCAGATCTATCTATCTATCTATCTATCTATCTATCTATCTATCTATCTATCTATCTATCTATCTATCTATCTATCACAGAATGGAGATGACATGGATTAAGGTGAAGTCAGTTGCAAGTTCAACATTTGTTAAAAAAAAAAAAGAACAATATGACTGGAATGAGCGTTTAATCAAATAAATGTGAACAGAAACATTTTTAGGGCAGAAAAACATTATCACGAGACTTTTGGATTTCTGTCCTGCAGTTATGGAAGAATATGAGGTAACACCGGGAAATAAACCTCCGTCGTTAACATGAGAAAGAAACTTCTTCACTGACCGCCGGGAAGTGAAATTTCGGCGAAGGGTCAGTTGTGCCGTTCCCTTCCTGGAACTTCAGCCAGTCCAGCAGCCGTTCAGCTCCGACCACACCCTCCCTGCTTCCTCATACTGCAGCGGGAGCGCGCAGCACGACTTTGAATCCCCGGGAATAACGGCCCTTTCCTCGGCTACCTTTGGGATTTCATGTTCGGGGAACTAGACGAAACATGTGAGTTGACTGTCCAAAGACTTTTGAGCGGTTATGGCGCTGAAAAGCAAGTGTCAGCAGGGGCTATGCGGGGCTTCACATTCTCTGGTCCCGTGTCAAGACGCCTAGAGGAAGAGGAGGAGGAGGAGGAGGAGGGCGGACAGAAGGACGATGCATATGGAGTCCAAGCGACTGCAGCATTCGCTAGCTTCTAACCCGGGGCTGTGTTTGAAAAAGAAGAGGTTAAAAGTGGATGGAGGAGTTTGTGCTGTTGGAAAGTCGGGCTCCCGGTCTTTAACTCTGGGGGACTCATGAAACGATGGTGCTGAAGGGAAACACGAGTCTTCCCGCTGTCCAGGAGAACTGCCCGGGTGGTGCCCCGTTTGTACCCAGCATGAGAATACCAGGCCGGTCAAAGTCATTGGAAGCAAGTCGGACAAGACGTCGGTGCTTTTTCAGGCTGCTTACCCTGTCAAGAGTGGACCTAAAATGACATCCTATTTATTAATGTAAAGAAAAAAAAAGAGCGAAGAATCGATCAAGCTAATGTTGAGGGATGTTTTTCTCTGCTAAAAAAGACCCAAAGAAAAGACATCTAGTGTTAAATAGCAGGAAAGGATCAGCAGATGTCATAAATCAGGAATGTGATCTCCTTTATGAAAAGAAATGCAGCTTTTGACTTTGAACAGCTCTCAGTCTGCACTTTGCCTGTTTGGAGGCACCCTGGCACTGCATTTGGTGTGATTTCTTCTTAAAGTTCACAGCCTGTGAAGTTTTTTTTTGTTTGACCAAAACTGGGACTGGGATTAGATTAACCACATCTGTATTTTGCTGGCATTTATGTTCATCTAAAGAGATAAGAGCATTTTATACTGATAATTTTAAGGCAATCCACCAGAAATATGCCTGACAGAAGTTCAGTCTCTTATTGTAAGAAAATATTCTGGATGTTATTGACTCAAAGTAATGCAGTTAGCGAGTTTGACTCTTTCTACGTGTTTACATGAAGAGTATATATATTCTGTGTGTACAGCTGATGACCCATACTCTGAAGGAATTTAAGGAAGACTGTTTGGCCAGTTGACTTTCTCAAAGTTTGTGAAAAGCAGTTCAGGCTTAGCTTGGAAACAGTACCATGTAATGTGCAGCACCCTAAAAAGCATAAATAAGTGAACTGAGTAACCCTCCCACCCTCACCCACCCCCTCCTTATTATGGCTAGTGGTGGCTCTGGCATGGCTCTGCCCCTAAGCTCATTCCAGAGCTTAGGGGCAGCAGCGGCAAATGCTCTGTCCCCTCTGAGCTTCAGCCTTGTACTGGGGACGGTCAGTAAAAGCTGATCAGCTGATCTTAGGGGTCGGGGTGGGCAATAAGGCTGTAGCATCTCCGAAATATAGGGTGGAGCAAGGTTGTTCAGGCCCTTAAAAACAAATGCTAAAAGCTTAAAATGAATTCTGTACTGAACAGGGAGCCAGTGTAAGGACGCCAGGATGGGGGTGATGTGCTCACGCCTGCGGGTCTGTGTCAGGAGACGTGCAGCAGAGTTCTGCATAAGCTGCAGGCGGGCAAGGGAAGCCTGGCTAATCCCTACGTACAAGGAGTTGCAGTAATCAAGACGGGTAGTGATAAAAGCATGGATTAATTTTTCCAGGTCAGGTCTTGATAAAATGGGCTTCACCTTCGCTATTTGGCGTAGCTGATAAAAACTTTTTTGTACCACCCCGCTGATCTGCTTGTCAAATTTAAAATCAGGGTCAAATTTAACTCCCAGATTAGTGACGACCTCTTTAAGGTAGGGTGAGAGGGAGCCTAGGTCGAAAACCCTTAAAACAGGCAGAAAAAAGAGAAAACTAAAAAAAAGAAAAAGAAGAGTATTTCTGAAAACAAAAAAAACAACAACAACAAAAAAACACCCTAAGAAAACTAAAAAACAAAAAAGAAATATTTCTGATTCTTGGGGTTAAGAAAGCCTGAGAAGTGGAAGAAGTAACTTCCCCGAAGTAAGGAAGTACTTAAAAAAAAAAAAAAACTCTTCAAAAAGAAATCTCCAAAAACAAAAATAAATTAAGACAACTGATGAAAAAACAAAAAAGAAAAAAAAACATCAACATGGGAAAAAAAAAAAAACTACTGGAAAGAAAATTAAAAAACAACAAACAAAAGCACCCATAACCCGGTGTTTTTCACACAAAAGATAAAATAAACCTTGCGGTTTTCCGTCCCATGGGAGGGTTTTTATCCCCCTCCTCGAGCTACCACCTTACCGTGGTGGAGGGGTTTGTGTGTCCCAATGAGAGTTAATTCTGATTTACTCTTGCTGTTGTCAAAAAGTGCTAAAATTTCTCTGAATTTCGCATGCTAAGTAGGCCCATGTCAGTTTTAATCCTTGCAGGACTCTTGTTTTCACTTTTCATCAGCAGAGGAAAAGCTTTTGGATAACTGATTAATATAGAGTTCAGGGGAAAGTATATCTGCAATGTATAATCAATAATGACTTTATCTTCATGAGTAAATATGATTTGTACATTTAAAGAGAACTATTTTTTAATTTTGGTTCAACAATGGACAGAAGTACACAGGCAAGATGGCGTCTGTAAAGTTCAGTTTAACAGCTGGTGTGTCATACTAAGTTTTCTTATTTAACCCATCAATACATATCAATTCATAAAGCATCTATTACAAAAACAGCTCAAATCAATGTGGGTTAACAGCAGGTTTGAAAAATACATGATTGTTATAGGGTGTGCTTTTTTTTTTTACATTTAAATGTGAAAAATTCAAATGTAAACAAACAACAAGAGAATATTGCATCAAAGGAACAATTCCGTGATGACATCATTATGACATCATCATGGCTTTCATCTCGTGTTACTAACTGGAAGTAGAGCAGCTGTCCAGGGTATCGTTTGAACCTTTCAGCGAGTAGCTACACTTAAAGAAAGAGACAATCGAAATCTTTTAGCAGCGGAACTCTGAGACTACAAACAGTCAAAGACAATGCAGCGACCAACAAACCGACCCAGGATTAACAGGCCCTTCTACTTGAGGGACAGAGAGATGGAGACACTCCGCAGGACTGTGGCTCAGCTCACTGGACAGCTGGAGAGTGAGAAGAACCGAACACTCTTGCTCAGCCAGGAGTTGGAGGTGACTCAACAGAGGCTCACTGGACAGCTGGAGAGAGAGAAGAACCGAACACTCTTGCTCAGCCAGGAGTTGGAGGTGATTCATCAGAAGCTGACCAGGCAAAGGGCTCTCAAGGAAGTGTACATTAACAAAGGGAAGGAGCTCAAAAAGGAGCTGCAGATGCTTCAAAAGTACAGCTCAGAGGAGACCCTCTCCAAACACAGAATTGCTCTTAAGGTGAGGGACACGAGCCGGCAGAAGAAGAAGAAGGATCTTCATGTCGATTACGAGGAGCTGAAGGTGGCACATATTGTGGAAAATGAGAGGCTCACAACACAAGTCCAGGAACTGACTGAAAGAAACACGGTCCTCCATGAAGAACAGGAGAAGACAAGAACCTCATACCAAGCACTGAAATTCCAGTATGCAACTGATCTCACTGCTGCGAAACAGGAAGTTGAGACCCTTCAGCGTGAGCTGCAAAATCAGGCTCACCATGATGGACTCTTACAGGAACAGACCATCCAGATCCTGAGAGCCGAACAGGACTCCATGACGGAGAAGATTGCTGTTCTGCAGCAGGCAGCTTTTGAAACAGAGAGGAGGCACTGGGCTGAGCTGGAGGAGCTGAAACAACAGCTCTACATCCAGACAGCCGGTATGATGGACAACAAGGAGCTTAAAGTGGCCCAAGAAACCAGCTTTAACAATGAAAAAAACAAAAAAACAAATGAACTCTCAACTGAGCTTCAACTTCGAGAGACAGGCATCAGGCAAAGTGAGATGACGCTTCAGGAGCAGGACTTCATGGACATGGACATCGAGCAGTTTTGCATGGAGTTGGAGAAAACTGCAGAAACTTCTGGAGCTGAAGAACTGGCAGGAGCTTTAGAAATCGAAGTGACTGCTGGATCTCCAGAACTAGTTGGAACAGCAGGACCAGCAGAGACACCAACCTCTAATGCCACCAAACCACCTTCTTCAGTCTGGAAACAAACAAGACACTTCTTGGGGTTAAGAAAGCCTGAGAAGTGGAAGAAGAAGTAACTTCCTCGAAGTAAGGAAGTACTTTAAAAAAAAAAAAAAACTCTTCAAAAAGAGATCTCAAAAAAAAAATAAAGAAAGAAAGAAAACCAAAAAAAAAAAATCAATCAATCAATCAACTTTATTTCTATAGCACATTTAAAACAACCACAAGGGTAGCCAAATTGCTGTACAGTGACACATAAAAACAAATAAAACAATCAAAGAACAAGATAAAGCAAGCAGAAATACAGTAATGCAAAAGAATAAATAAGTGTATAAATAAGGAGGCTCACGGCAAGTGCTAAGATGATAAAAAACAAATTAACACTACAATGTACTAAAAGCCAATGAGTAAAAGTACGTTTTTAAAAGGGATTTAAAAACAGAAAATGAGGAGGCCTGTCTAATTTTCAAGGGCAACTCATTCCAGAGCTTAGGGGCAGCAGCGGCAAATGCTCTGTCCCCTCTGAGCTTCAGCCTTGTACTGGGGGCGGTCAGTAAAGGCTGATCAGGTGAGCTTAGGGGTCGGGGTGGGCAATAAGGCTGTAGCATCTCCGAAATATAGGGTGGAGCAAGGTTGTTCAGGCCCTTAAAAACAAATGCTAAAAGCTTAAAATGAATTCTGTACTGAACAGGGAGCCAGTGTAAGGACGCCAGGATGGGGGTGATGTGCTCACGCCTGCGGGTCTGTGTCAGGAGACGTGCAGCAGAGTTCTGCATAAGCTGCAGGCGGGCAAGGGAAGCCTGGCTAATCCCTACGTACAAGGAGTTGCAGTAATCAAGACGGGTAGTGATAAAAGCATGGATTAATTTTTCCAGGTCAGGTCTTGATAAAATGGGCTTCACCTTCGCTATTTGGCGTAGCTGATAAAAACTTTTTGTACCACCCCGCTGATCTGCTTGTCAAATTTAAAATCAGGGTCAAATTTAACTCCCAGATTAGTGACGACCTCTTTAAGGTAGGGTGAGAGGGAGCCTAGGTCGAAAACCCTTAAAACAGGCAGAAAAAAGAGAAAACTAAAAAAAAGAAAAAGAAGAGTATTTCTGAAAAAAAAAAAAACAACAACAAAAAAACACCCTAAGAAAACTAAAAAACAAAAAAGAAATGTTTCTGATTCTTGGGATTAAGAAAGCCTGAGAAGTGGAAGAAGTAAGTAAGGAAGTACTTAAAAAAAAAAAAAACTCTTCAAAAAGAAATCTCCAAAAACAAAAATAAATTAAGACAACTGATGAAAAAACAAAAAAGAAAAAAAAAACATCAACATGGGAAAAAAAAAAAAATTCTAAAAAAAAAAAAAAAAAACTACTGGAAAGAAAATTAAAAAACAACAAACAAAAGCACCCATAACCCGGTGTTTTTCACACAAAAGATAAAATAAACCTTGCGGTTTTCCGTCCCATGGGAGGGTTTTTATCCCCCTCCTCGAGCTACCACCTTACCGTGGTGGAGGGGTTTGTGTGTCCCAATGAGAGTTAATTCTGATTTACTCTTGCTGTTGTCAAAAAGTGCTAAAATTTCTCTGAATTTCGCATGTTAAGTAGGCCCATGTCAGTTTTAATCCTTGCAGGACTCTTGTTTTCACTTTTCATCAGCAGAGGAAAAGCTTTTGGATAACTGATTAATATAGAGTTCAGGGGAAAGTATATCTGCAATGTATAATCAATAATGACTTTATCTTCATGAGTAAATATGATTTGTACATTTAAAGAGAACTATTTTTTAATTTTGGTTCAACAATGGACAGAAGTACACAGGCAAGATGGCGTCTGTAAAGTTCAGTTTAACAGCTGGTGTGTCATACTAAGTTTTCTTATTTAACCCATCAATACATATCAATTCATAAAGCATCTATTACAAAAACAGCTCAAATCAATGTGGGTTAACAGCAGGTTTGAAAAATACATGATTGTTATAGGGTGTGCTTTTTTTTTTACATTTAAATGTGAAAAATTCAAATGTAAACAAACAACAAGAGAATATGGCATCAAAGGAACAATTCCGTGATGACATCATTATGACATCATCATGGCTTTCATCTCGTGTTACTAACTGGAAGTAGAGCAGCTGTCCAGGGTATCGTTTGAACCTTTCAGCGAGTAGCTACACTTAATGTAAAGATTATTAAATTTAGACACAACCAAGGCTATTTCTGCTGCTGTTCAGGTGCCTCTACTATACTAATAATCATTAGTATTAAATTATTTAAAATTATTTAAAAATACGACTCTGCAGTGGCTGTCATGGCAACTGAATCAACTGTTTAGTTTTAAAAAACTGAAGTTGGATATTTCAAAGTGAAACATAGACCTACTGGTAAAAACGTGGAAGAAAGCGAAAAGCAAAGATGGAAAACATGTCAGAGGAAACCCACGGCGAAATGACGGATCCACAGCACGTCCACCTAAGGTAAGGAGAAAAAAACGGTTCAAGGGGTCCCTGTGTGAAGGTGTTTCTATAAAACCGCGCCTCAACCTTTTTCTTTCTGCTCCTTTTCATTCACATGAAAATTTTTCCTTGTTTGTATTGAATGTGTCATATACTAACAGACTGAAATAAAGTATGTACACAGCGCCCTAACTTTATTGAAATGAAGTCATGTGTTTGGAGGTTAAGGCTCTGTTTGTGTAGATACCAACAGTTTGGGTCGGGTCAGAACTGCTGACATTCATACAGCTCATTCAGACGACTCAGAGAATGAGAGTATTTGGAATTTTCCAATATTTATCATGTCTCAGATTTGTGCACATCAGTTTGTGAATGACAGATATTGTACAGAAAGACTTAGCTTTCAGACCCTTTACAACAAGATCTTCAGTGCTTCTCATCTTTTTCTTTTAGCTTCCCATCTGAAAGCTCTGTGGAGGAAATGGCTCAAGACAGACCAGATCAAGATGAGACGGAGAAAACGGAGATTGATAACAGCATCATACAGAGACTTCAAGACAGACCAGATCAAGATGAGACAGAGAAAAAGGAGATTGATAACCGAATCATACAGAGACTTCAATCTGGCTGGATAGGCACTCTTCATGTCGTTTTCCTGGTGCTGCTTTTAGTCCTAATCACTGTCATTGTTGGCCTGAGCATCAATGTTAAGCAGTTACAGAAAGAAAGGAGTCAGCTGAGACAGCTTCTAGAATCAACACACATGGGACTGAACCACACCATGGAAGTAAATCAAAAAGTGAGCCAGAGTCTGAACTTCACCGTGGAAGAAAATCAAAAACTGAGGCTGAGTCTGAACTACACCATGGAGGAGAATCTGAACCTGAGCCTGAGTCTGAACAACACCATGGAAGAAAATCAGAAATTGAGCAGAAGACTAAACTACACCATGGAAGAAAATCAGAAATTGAGCCTGAGTCTGAACTACACCATGGAAGAGAATCTGAACCTGAGCCTGAGTCTGAACAACACCATGGAAGAAAATCAAAAACTGAGGCTGAGTCTGAACTACACCATGGAAGAGAATCTGAACCTGAGCCTGAGTCTGAACAACACCATGGAAGAAAATCAGGAATTGAGCAGAAGACTAAACTACACCATGGAAGATAATCAGAAATTGAGCCTGAGTCTGAACTACACCATGGAAGATAATCTGAAACTGAGCCGAAGACTCAACCACACCAAGGAAGAAAATCAAAAACTGAGCCTGAGTCTGAGCTACTCCATGGAAGAAAATCAGAGACTGAGCCGAAGACTAAACCACACCATGGAAGTAAATCAAAAAGTGAGCCAGAGTCTGAACTTCACCGTGGAAGAAAATCAAAAACTGAGGCTGAGTCTGAACTACACCATGGAGGAGAATCTGAACCTGAGCCTGAGTCTGAACAACACCATGGAAGAAAATCAGAAATTGAGCAGAAGACTAAACTACACCATGGAAGAGAATCTGAATCTGAGCCAAAGATTAAACCACACCAAGGAAGAAAATCAAAAACTGAGGCTGAGTCTGAACTACACCATGGAAGAGAATCTGAACCTGAGCCTGAGTCTGAACAGCACCAAGGAAGAAAATCAAAAACTGAGCCTGAGTCTGAGCTACTCCATGGAAGAAAATCAGAGACTGAGCCGAAGACTTAACCACACCATGGCAGAAAAGTCACAGCTTCAAGTGCAGATTGAGGAGATGAAAATCATATTGAATTCTACTATGGAAAACCGTGACTCTTTCAGAAAAGACAAAATCAAATATCAACAGCTTTTGATCAATGAAAGGCAGACCTCAACTCAACTAAAAGCTGAAAATCAACGTCAACAATCAATTCTGATGTCGGAGAAACTATCTTTCCTCTGGAGATTCTGTGATAAAGGCACCCTGCAATGTTCACGCTGCCTTCCTGGTTGGGCTGAGCACGCCACACGCTGCTTCCATTTGGCATCACAACCAATGAAGTGGGAAGATGCTCGTAGGGAGTGTTTTAATGAAGGTGCTGACCTGGCTGTTGTCTTGAATGCTGCAGACCAGGCATTTCTGACCAACATGACTTTCCAGTTTACACAGCAGCATCCAAATGTACTGTTCCATTCAGCATGGATCGGGTTGCAGGACATGGTGCAGGATAACAGATTTGTGTGGGTAAATGGTATCAAGTCCAAGTCAGATTTGAAGTTCTGGATGCCTGGAGAGCCAAACAATGCTGCGGCTCAATGGGACAAAGACCGTGCAGGACAGGACTGTGTTGTCATTGTCCCTCCAAAGACTGTTGGACAGAAAGGCTGGCTGAACTCCTGGGATGATGTTGTCTGTCGAGGCCAGCGGCACTACATTTGTGAAACCAAAGCTCTTATTTTGTCTGGAGTAAAAACTGAGGAATGATGAGTTTATAACAATTTAGAATAAGTATGAATTAATGTGAAATAAATGTTCTTTATTTTGATAATGATATGGTATTATTATTTGGATTTTAATGTGGTCTATATAATAGACTGTTTTTTGTTCTTTTTTTAGTCAGATCTATCTATCTATCTATCTATCTATCTATCTATCTATCTATCTATCTATCACAGAATGGAGATGACATGGATTAAGGTGAAGTCAGTTGCAAGTTCAACATTTGTTAAAAAAAAAAAAAGAACAATATGACTGGAATGAGCGTTTAATCAAATAAATGTGAACAGAAACATTTTTAGGGCAGAAAAACATTATCACGAGACTTTTGGATTTCTGTCCTGCAGTTATGGAAGAATATGAGGTAACACCGGGAAATAAACCTCCGTCGTTAACATGAGAAAGAAACTTCTTCACTGACCGCCGGGAAGTGAAATTTCGGCGAAGGGTCAGTTGTGCCGTTCCCTTCCTGGAACTTCAGCCAGTCCAGCAGCCGTTCAGCTCCGACCACACCCTCCCTGCTTCCTCATACTGCAGCGGGAGCGCGCAGCACGACTTTGAATCCCCGGGAATAACGGCCCTTTCCTCGGCTACCTTTGGGATTTCATGTTCGGGGAACTAGACGAAACATGTGAGTTGACTGTCCAAAGACTTTTGAGCGGTTATGGCGCTGAAAAGCAAGTGTCAGCAGGGGCTATGCGGGGCTTCACATTCTCTGGTCCCGTGTCAAGACGCCTAGAGGAAGAGGAGGAGGAGGAGGAGGAGGGCGGACAGAAGGACGATGCATATGGAGTCCAAGCGACTGCAGCATTCGCTAGCTTCTAACCCGGGGCTGTGTTTGAAAAAGAAGAGGTTAAAAGTGGATGGAGGAGTTTGTGCTGTTGGAAAGTCGGGCTCCCGGTCTTTAACTCTGGGGGACTCATGAAACGATGGTGCTGAAGGGAAACACGAGTCTTCCCGCTGTCCAGGAGAACTGCCCGGGTGGTGCCCCGTTTGTACCCAGCATGAGAATACCAGGCCGGTCAAAGTCATTGGAAGCAAGTCGGACAAGACGTCGGTGCTTTTTCAGGCTGCTTACCCTGTCAAGAGTGGACCTAAAATGACATCCTATTTATTAATGTAAAGAAAAAAAAAGAGCGAAGAATCGATCAAGCTAATGTTGAGGGATGTTTTTCTCTGCTAAAAAAGACCCAAAGAAAAGACATCTAGTGTTAAATAGCAGGAAAGGATCAGCAGATGTCATAAATCAGGAATGTGATCTCCTTTATGAAAAGAAATGCAGCTTTTGACTTTGAACAGCTCTCAGTCTGCACTTTGCCTGTTTGGAGGCACCCTGGCACTGCATTTGGTGTGATTTCTTCTTAAAGTTCACAGCCTGTGAAGTTTTTTTCTGTTTGACCAAAACTGGGACTGGGATTAGATTAACCACATCTGTATTTTGCTGGCATTTATGTTCATCTAAAGAGATAAGAGCATTTTATACTGATAATTTTAAGGCAATCCACCAGAAATATGCCTGACAGAAGTTCAGTCTCTTATTGTAAGAAAATATTCTGGATGTTATTGACTCAAAGTAATGCAGTTAGCGAGTTTGACTCTTTCTACGTGTTTACATGAAGAGTATATATATTCTGTGTGTACAGCTGATGACCCATACTCTGAAGGAATTTAAGGAAGACTGTTTGGCCAGTTGACTTTCTCAAAGTTTGTGAAAAGCAGTTCAGGCTTAGCTTGGAAACAGTACCATGTAATGTGCAGCACCCTAAAAAGCATAAATAAGTGAACTGAGTAACCCTCCCACCCTCACCCACCCCCTCCTTATTATGGCTAGTGGTGGCTCTGGCATGGCTCTGCCCCTAAGCTCATTCCAGAGCTTAGGGGCAGCAGCGGCAAATGCTCTGTCCCCTCTGAGCTTCAGCCTTGTACTGGGGACGGTCAGTAAAAGCTGATCAGCTGATCTTAGGGGTCGGGGTGGGCAATAAGGCTGTAGCATCTCCGAAATATAGGGTGGAGCAAGGTTGTTCAGGCCCTTAAAAACAAATGCTAAAAGCTTAAAATGAATTCTGTACTGAACAGGGAGCCAGTGTAAGGACGCCAGGATGGGGGTGATGTGCTCACGCCTGCGGGTCTGTGTCAGGAGACGTGCAGCAGAGTTCTGCATAAGCTGCAGGCGGGCAAGGGAAGCCTGGCTAATCCCTACGTACAAGGAGTTGCAGTAATCAAGACGGGTAGTGATAAAAGCATGGATTAATTTTTCCAGGTCAGGTCTTGATAAAATGGGCTTCACCTTCGCTATTTGGCGTAGCTGATAAAAACTTTTTTGTACCACCCCGCTGATCTGCTTGTCAAATTTAAAATCAGGGTCAAATTTAACTCCCAGATTAGTGACGACCTCTTTAAGGTAGGGTGAGAGGGAGCCTAGGTCGAAAACCCTTAAAACAGGCAGAAAAAAGAGAAAACTAAAAAAAAGAAAAAGAAGAGTATTTCTGAAAACAAAAAAAACAACAACAACAAAAAAACACCCTAAGAAAACTAAAAAACAAAAAAGAAATATTTCTGATTCTTGGGGTTAAGAAAGCCTGAGAAGTGGAAGAAGTAACTTCCCCGAAGTAAGGAAGTACTTAAAAAAAAAAAAAAACTCTTCAAAAAGAAATCTCCAAAAACAAAAATAAATTAAGACAACTGATGAAAAAACAAAAAAGAAAAAAAAAACATCAACATGGGAAAAAAAAAAAAACTACTGGAAAGAAAATTAAAAAACAACAAACAAAAGCACCCATAACCCGGTGTTTTTCACACAAAAGATAAAATAAACCTTGCGGTTTTCCGTCCCATGGGAGGGTTTTTATCCCCCTCCTCGAGCTACCACCTTACCGTGGTGGAGGGGTTTGTGTGTCCCAATGAGAGTTAATTCTGATTTACTCTTGCTGTTGTCAAAAAGTGCTAAAATTTCTCTGAATTTCGCATGTTAAGTAGGCCCATGTCAGTTTTAATCCTTGCAGGACTCTTGTTTTCACTTTTCATCAGCAGAGGAAAAGCTTTTGGATAACTGATTAATATAGAGTTCAGGGGAAAGTATATCTGCAATGTATAATCAATAATGACTTTATCTTCATGAGTTAATATGATTTGTACATTTAAAGAGAACTATTTTTTAATTTTGGTTCAACAATGGACAGAAGTACACAGGCAAGATGGCGTCTGTAAAGTTCAGTTTAACAGCTGGTGTGTCATACTAAGTTTTCTTATTTAACCCATCAATACATATCAATTCATAAAGCATCTATTACAAAAACAGCTCAAATCAATGTGGGTTAACAGCAGGTTTGAAAAATACATGATTGTTATAGGGTGTGCTTTTTTTTTTACATTTAAATGTGAAAAATTCAAATGTAAACAAACAACAAGAGAATATGGCATCAAAGGAACAATTCCGTGATGACATCATTATGACATCATCATGGCTTTCATCTCGTGTTACTAACTGGAAGTAGAGCAGCTGTCCAGGGTATCGTTTGAACCTTTCAGCGAGTAGCTACACTTAAAGAAAGAGACAATCGAAATCTTTTAGCAGCGGAACTCTGAGACTACAAACAGTCAAAGACAATGCAGCGACCAACAAACCGACCCAGGATTAACAGGCCCTTCTACTTGAGGGACAGAGAGATGGAGACACTCCGCAGGACTGTGGCTCAGCTCACTGGACAGCTGGAGAGTGAGAAGAACCGAACACTCTTGCTCAGCCAGGAGTTGGAGGTGACTCAACAGAGGCTCACTGGACAGCTGGAGAGAGAGAAGAACCGAACACTCTTGCTCAGCCAGGAGTTGGAGGTGATTCATCAGAAGCTGACCAGGCAAAGGGCTCTCAAGGAAGTGTACATTAACAAAGGGAAGGAGCTCAAAAAGGAGCTGCAGATGCTTCAAAAGTACAGCTCAGAGGAGACCCTCTCCAAACACAGAATTGCTCTTAAGGTGAGGGACACGAGCCGGCAGAAGAAGAAGAAGGATCTTCATGTCGATTACGAGGAGCTGAAGGTGGCACATATTGTGGAAAATGAGAGGCTCACAACACAAGTCCAGGAACTGACTGAAAGAAACACGGTCCTCCATGAAGAACAGGAGAAGACAAGAACCTCATACCAAGCACTGAAATTCCAGTATGCAACTGATCTCACTGCTGCGAAACAGGAAGTTGAGACCCTTCAGCGTGAGCTGCAAAATCAGGCTCACCATGATGGACTCTTACAGGAACAGACCATCCAGATCCTGAGAGCCGAACAGGACTCCATGACGGAGAAGATTGCTGTTCTGCAGCAGGCAGCTTTTGAAACAGAGAGGAGGCACTGGGCTGAGCTGGAGGAGCTGAAACAACAGCTCTACATCCAGACAGCCGGTATGATGGACAACAAGGAGCTTAAAGTGGCCCAAGAAACCAGCTTTAACAATGAAAAAAACAAAAAAACAAATGAACTCTCAACTGAGCTTCAACTTCGAGAGACAGAAATCAGGCAAAGTGAGATGACGCTTCAGGAGCAGGACTTCATGGACATGGACATCGAGCAGTTTTGCATGGAGTTGGAGAAAACTGCAGAAACTTCTGGAGCTGAAGAACTGGCAGGAGCTTTAGAAATCGAAGTGACTGCTGGATCTCCAGAACTAGTTGGAACAGCAGGACCAGCAGAGACACCAACCTCTAATGCCACCAAACCACCTTCTTCAGTCTGGAAACAAACAAGACACTTCTTGGGGTTAAGAAAGCCTGAGAAGTGGAAGAAGAAGTAACTTCCTCGAAGTAAGGAAGTACTTTAAAAAAAAAAAAACTCTTCAAAAAGAGATCTCAAAAAAAAATAAAGAAAGAAAGAAAACCAAAAAAAAAAATCAATCAATCAATCAACTTTATTTCTATAGCACATTTAAAACAACCACAAGGGTAGCCAAATTGCTGTACAGTGACACATAAAAACAAATAAAACAATCAAAGAACAAGA